CGTGATGGGCCCGGCCACCACCTCTGCTCGCCCAGGATCTCCACGTGCGTGCCAGTCTCGACTACAGCGTGCCCGGCGATCCTCGCCGCCGCGTCCACGCGCAGCCGTTTCCGCCGCGCCGTCTTAGACTCCGCGGCCTGCGGCAGGACGTAGTTCGGGCCGTACTCCGCGACGTTCGCGAGGGCCTCGGCCGCGCTCACCGTCTCGACCGCGGCCTCGACCGGTGGAGGGGGGGCTCGACCCGTCGTTCGACCCGTCGTTCCGTGACCTCCCGCGCCAGCCGCTCGCCAGCGAGGGGCTCCTGATGCGCCGCCCGTCGGTCGACGCCCTCGCCCCTGCGCTCAGCCAACGACGCCGTCGCTGTCCTCGCTAACCAACGTGACCGTGATTCGAGGCCGCCCATCCTCCATTGATGCCGTCCAACACCAAAGTCGTTCCCCCTCCAACACCAAAGTCGTCCCTCCCCCGTCCCCCTCGGACACGTCCCTCCCCTGTCCTCTCGACTGCTTCCCTCTTTTACATACATAAATAAATAGAGCAGTCATCTCCATGAGAGATGCAGATGGGCGACGCACGAACACAGAGCTCAGAGGCACAGTGCGCAGTGCGCACCCCGCCCCGCTCACAGGGCGTGCATCACACAGGGACTGTGTGACTCCTTTTCTGGGGTCTCTTGACAGAGGTGCGCTAGTCGCTATAACACACATGGGGACTTTGTGAAAAAAGAATTTGCGGTGCCCAGGCGCCGGCCACAGGCCTCGCCCGGCTCTCCCTTCGCGTCCGACGGCCGTCCTGCTCGGGATTTATTGATTCCATCTAAGTGCTCGCGTAGCCGCTGCAGCAGGAACTGCAGTCGCAGTCGACGTCGCAGTCTCGCTTGGCCATAGGCAGAGCCTCGCTGGGAGATGGCGGTGCGAGATTTTGGGCAGAAAGTTGACGTCTGCCGGCGCATCAAGGAGGTTCTGAAGAATTATGAGGAGGGAAGCCTCTTGAAGGAGATGGTCCAGAACGCCGATGATGCAGGAGCGTCCGTGTTCGACGTCCTCCTCGACCTCCGGACCCATGGTTCGTCAGAGCTTGCGCTTCCCGGCACGGCGGCCTTTCAGGGTCCTGCGCTCGTGACGCACAACGACGCGGTCTTCGCAGACTCCGACCTGGAGAGCATTCAGCAGATTGGCGGCTCGCAGAAGGCCGGGTCGCGGTCCACCAAGACGGGGCGCTTTGGCGTCGGCTTCTGCTCTTGCTATCACGCTACCGACCTCCCTTCCTTCCTCTCTCGAGACTTTCTCGTGGTGCTCGACCCGCACTGCGCGCACGTCTCCGACAACCGCTCCGAGCCAGGCAAGATGCTCTGCTTCCTCGAGGACCCGAAGACCGTCGCCTCGAGCCGCGACACCTTCGAGCCCTACCGCGTGTTCGGATGCAGCCTCCAGCACAGCTACCCGGGCACAATCTTCCGGCTGCCACTCCGCACCGCCGAGCAGGCGGCCGCGTCGCGCATCTCGGCGCAGCCCTTTGTCGGCGCGCCGGCGAGGGGCCTGCTGGACGCGTTTCTCGAGCTGCTCCCCGAGCTGCCCCTCTTCCTCACCCACGTGCACACCGTCACCGTCTCGGTCTGGGAGGCGGGCGCCGCGGCGCCGACCCTCCTCCGCTCCCTCTCGACACGCGACACCAAGTCGGGCGCGCCGCCGCAGCGCAGCCGCGTGCACGAGCTGGTCGCGGCGCGCAGCGATCTGCGCAGCCTGACCCCGTCGCAGAGCATCTCGCAGATCGACGTGCGCGTGAGCGACTCCGCCGCCTCACCGAGCGCCGCTCGCTGGCTCATCGTGCAAGGCATGGGCGCCGGCCGCGCCCTCGAAATCTGCCTGGACCCGGCGTGTGAGCGGTATGGCCTCACCCCCATCCCGTGGGCGGGGGTCGCTGCTCGCGTGATGCCGACTGGCCTAGCGACGGAGGGACGCCCGTACTGCCTCCTTCCCCTGCCGAGTGCGACGGGGCTGCCGGTTCACGTCAACGGTTTCTTTGAGGTCTCCTCCAACAGGCGAGACATCTGGCACGGGGACGACACGATTGGCGGCGGGCGCTTGCGCTCCGAGTGGAACATCGCCCTGCTACAGGACGTGGCGGCCCCTTGCTACGTCGAGCTCCTGCTCTACGCGCGCAGCCTGCTGCACGGCCCCGCCTTCTACGCCCTCTGGCCGTCCTCCAAGCCTGCCGAGCCGTGGGGGTCGCTCGTCGCCGCCATGTACCGCCTCGTCCTCGACCAGCCGCTGCTGCGCTGCGAGGCGGACGGCGGCAGCTGGCTCTCGGCGCGGAGCGCCATCTTCGCCGACGGCGGCGGCTTCGAGCTGCCTGACGCGGCGCGGGAGCTGCTGCTGCGGCGCGGCATGCCGCTCGCGGTGGTGCCGGCGCCGGTGCAGCGGCTGCTTGCGGAGGCGGCGGAGGCGGCGGGCCGCGCGCTCTCCGTCGCGAGCCCGGAGGCGGTCCGCGCGTGGCTGGCCGGCGACCGCCGCCTGGCGCGCGAGAGCCCGACCGAGGGCCAGCGGACGCGGCGGGAGGGCCTCGAGCTGCTCCGCCACTGCGCGAAGGGGCTGAGGGGGGAGGGGATGGCGCAGCTGCGAGGCCTGCGGCTGGTGCCGCTGCGGTCGGGAGGGTGGGCGCGCTTTGGCGACGCGTCGAGCCCGCCGCTGCTGCTGAGCGCGTCCGCCGACGACGAGGGGCTTCTCCGCCCGTACCCGGCCCTGGTGGTGGACGTGCACGCCGAGGACGGGCTGGCGTCGGAGGAGCTGCGGCTGGCGGCGGCGTCCGGGCAGACGAACGTGCGCCCCTTCTCGGCGGCGCTGCTGGTGCCGATGCTGCCGCTCATGCTCCCGTCGAGCTGGCACGGCTGCGAGCTGGTCAAGCTGGCGGCCACGCCGCCGCCCGAGGCGGAGGCGGGGGGCGACGCGGCCGGGGGAGCGGTGGGGGGCGACGCGGCCGGGGGTGCGGCGGGGCCGCCGCTCGAGTGGCTGCTCGAGCTGTGGGCGCTGCTCGGCCGGCAGCAGTCCCAGGTCGACCTGACGGGGCTGGCGGGCTGGCCGCTGCTGCCGACGCGCCGGGGCGAGGCGTACGCGCTCCCGAGCGGCGGCGCGCGCGAGACGCGCATGCTCGAGATGAGCGGGCTGAGCGACCCCCTCGCGGAGGCGCTCGAGCGGGCTGGCGTCCTCTGTGTGCACCCGGCGGCCAACCTGTCGAGGCGGGAGCTGCGCGCCTACGCGCCGCTGCCGACGGCGTGCGCCGTGCTGCGCGCGCTGCAGGCCGCGACGCGCGCCCGCCCCGGCGCGGCGCCGGCCTTCGTGGAGCTGAGCCTGGCGGAGCGGCGGGCGGTGCGCGGCTTCCTCGCCGAGCGGCGCCCCGCCGAGGAAAGCGAGCTGACCAACGCCGACCTGGTGCCTTTCCTGCGCTCGCTGCCCATCTTCGAGCTGCACCGCGCCGCGCCGCCGGACGGCGAGGCGGCACCGGCACCGGCGGGGGAGTGCGTGCCGCTGCAGCGGGGCGTGCACTGCGTGGCGCCGCCGGGCGTGCCGGAGTCGCTGCTGGCGGGCGGGCGCTTCGTGCGGAGCGGCTCCGAGAGCGAGCGCCGGCTGCTCCGCTTCTTGGGCGTCGAGCAGCCCGCCCGGAGCGCCTTCTTTCGCTCGCACGTCTTTGGCCGGCTGGCCGACCTGCCCGCCGAGGCGCGCGACGGCGCGATGGTGTCGGTGCTGCGCGAGCTGCACGCGCTCGGCTCGGAGGACGCCGGCTTCGTCGACTCGCTGCGCGAGCTGCGCTTCGTGCCTACGGCGGGCGGCTCGCTGCACCGCGCGAGCGAGCTCTTCCATCCAAAGGTGCACGCGGCGGCCGAGCTGCTCGGGGTGGAGGGGGCGTACCCGGCGGGCGTCTTCAGCGCGCCCGACCTGCTGAGCGCGCTGGAGCGGCTCGGGCTGCGCGGCGAGGTGACGCGCGGCGCGGTGGTGCAGAGCGCGCGGTCGGTGCAGGAGCTCTCCGCCAGCGACGGCGAGGCGGCGCTGCGGCGCGCGCGCGCGCTGCTCCGGTACGTCGACACCCACGCCGCGACTCTCCTCGCTCCTCGACCCACTCGCGGCAAGCAGCGCGGCAGTTTGATGTCGATGTTTGGACAGAGCGACGCCACCGCGCGAGAAGCCGACATGGAGGTGCCCCAGGCTGCTCCCCCTTCCTCCCACCTTTCTATGTCACGCGTACCAACCTGGGCCTGCGGGTTGCATAGGTGTCCACCTTTGGCGATGAGCTGTCGTCGATCTCTTGGCTCCCCGTCCTAGTGGACCCGCCAGAGAGCTACCTGCCTTGGGACGCCTCGCAAACCAGCGTGGTTGCCCGCTCCGATGCGGTGCGACCCCTCGGCGACCTCTGGCTCGCTTCGAGCTCTTCTCGCATTTTGGACGGGCAGGTCCAAGACCAAAGCTTGACCCGCGTTTTTGGATGGCACAAGCCGGTCAACCTCTATGCGCTGGTCACGCAGCTGGGAGCGCTGGGTGCCCTTGACAGTTCGAGTGAGGTGTCCTACCGCCAGACCATGGCGCTCGCCGTGCCGACCCTCTACCGATCGATTGACACCGCGCTCGCGTCTCCGGCTCCCGATGCCGCCGACGATGGCGCTTCCGAGGCTGCCCTCGAGGCGCTTCGAGAGCAGCCGTGCATTTGGGTCGGGAGCGGTTTTGTGCGGCCCGCGGTGACGGCTCTCGTGTCTCCCCTGAGCTTGCAGCCTCATCTGTACGTCGTATCTGCGGACCTGCAGAGCTTTGGATCGCTGCTTCGACGTCTGGGCGTGCGGGATCGCTTTGGGTCGAGCCAGTTGGTGCGCCTCTTGGAGGATCTGGCGTTTCGGCACGCCAGCGCGCCGCTGGACAGCGCCACCCTCGAGATGGTGCTTAGCGTGGTGCAACAGCTGGCTTCGCCCCAGCACCAGCCTCTGCCTCCGACGCAGATCTACCTCCCCGACACGGCGTGCGCGATGGTTGTGGCGCACGAGCTGCTCTTTGACGACACGCCGTGGCTGAGCGACAGCCTTGCCGGGGGGCAGCAGGCGGCGGGTGGCCAGGCCGCCTCGATTCTGAGCTCGGCGAGCAAACGGCGGCGCGTGCACCCCAGCATTGCGCACGAGACTGCGGCTCGGCTCGGCGCGCAGTCGCTCCGCCTGTGGCTCCTCGGCCGAAACGCGGACACCTTCGCTCTCGGCCAGGAGAACGTGGAGGCGTTCGGGCAGTACGAATCCCTGACGAGCAGGCTCCACAACATCCTCGAGCTGTACGCCGACGGGGTCGGCATCTTGCACGAGCTCATCCAGAACAGCGACGACGCGGGCGCCACGGAGGTCTCCTTCATCTTTGACCAGGCCCAGCACGGCGACCAGTCGCTCCTCTCGCCCTCGATGCGTGAGTGGCAGGGTCCCGCCCTCTGCGTCTTCAACAACGCCCAGTTCACGCCCCGCGACTTGCGCAACATCTGCAGCATCGGGTCAAACGCGAAGCTCGCGGCCGGAAACGCAACCGGGCGGTTCGGGCTCGGCTTCAATGCCGTGTACCACTTCACCGACGTCCCGTCCTTTATCAGCGGCTCGCACCTCGTCTTCTTCGACCCCGCCGCCCAGTTCCTTCCGGGCGCGACGGCAAACAACCCGGGGCTCAAGATCAAGTTCGCGGGCGAGTCCTTCTTGGAGCAGTTTCCGGACCAGTTCGCGCCGTACCTGCTGTGCGGCTGCGACATGGTCTCGCCGTACAACGGCACCCTCTTCCGCTTCCCGCTCCGCAACAAGCACACCGCCTCGCGCTCGCAGCTGCGCAAGGAGGAGTACTCGGAGGAGGCGATGCGCGGCCTCTTCGACTCCTTGCACGACGAGGCGTGCGAGCTCCTCCTCTTCCTCAAGAATGTGCGCACGGTCAAGGCTTTCGTGCGCCGCGAGGCCGGGGCCGAGCCCGAGCTCTTGTTCCAGGCCGAGCGCTCCACCGCTCCGGGCACGCGCAACGAGGGCGCCATCGCAAACTACATCTCGGGCCGCGGCGGCGGCGGCACCGCCTCGGTGGATGCCTTCTACGAGCGGCTGGAGAAGGCCGATGTTCGGCAGCTCCCGTTGGAGGCGATGCGCCTGACCGTGCACTTGAGACACGGGCCCGCCTCGCCCCGCGGCGACGAGGTGAGGGAGGAGGACTGGCTGGTGTGCAGCGCGCTCGGGCGCGGCGCGAGGCGCATCTGCGAGATGTGCCTCAAGCCCGAGGGCCGGCGGCTCAAGCTCATGCCTTGGGGCGGCACGGCGGCTCGACTAAGCGTCAGCAAGCGGCCCTCGAGCACTGCTGATGCGGGAGAGGCAGCGGTCGCGACAGAGTCTGCGGGTTCCACGCCCATTGCTGGTCGCGCGTACTGCTTTCTGCCCCTGCCGAGCGCGACGGGCTTGCCCGTTCACTCGAACGGGTACTTCGAGCTGTCTGCCAACCGGCGAGACATCTGGCACGGGGACGACATGGTGGGAGTGGGGCAGCTCCGCTCCGAGTGGAACATCGCCCTGCTACAGGACGTGCTCGCTCCGTGCTACGCTCAGCTCCTGCTCTACGCGCGCAGCCTGCTGCACGGCCCCGCCTTCTACGCCCTCTGGCCGTCCTCCAAGCCTGCCGAGCCGTGGGGGTCGCTCGTCGCCGCCATGTACCGCCTCGTCCTCAACCAGCCGCTGCTGCGCTGCGAGGCGGACGGCGGCAGCTGGCTCTCGGCGCGGAGCGCCATCTTCGCCGACGGCGGCGGCTTCGAGCTGCCTGACGCGGCGCGGGAGCTGCTGCTGCGGCGCGGCATGCCGCTCGCGGTGGTGCCGGCGCCGGTGCAGCGGCTGCTTGCGGAGGCGGCGGAGGCGGCGGGCCGCGCGCTCTCCGTCGCGAGCCCGGAGGCGGTCCGCGCGTGGCTGGCCGGCGACCGCCGCCTGGCGCGCGAGAGCCCGACCGAGGGCCAGCGGACGCGGCGGGAGGGCCTCGAGCTGCTCCGCCACTGCGCGAAGGGGCTGAGGGGGGAGGGGATGGCGCAGCTGCGAGGCCTGCGGCTGGTGCCGCTGCGGTCGGGAGGGTGGGCGCGCTTTGGCGACGCGTCGAGCCCGCCGCTGCTGCTGAGCGCGTCCGCCGACGACGAGGGGCTTCTCCGCCCGTACCCGGCCCTGGTGGTGGACGTGCACGCCGAGGACGGGCTGGCGTCGGAGGAGCTGCGGCTGGCGGCGGCGTCCGGGCAGACGAACGTGCGCCCCTTCTCGGCGGCGCTGCTGGTGCCGATGCTGCCGCTCATGCTCCCGTCGAGCTGGCACGGCTGCGAGCTGGTCAAGCTGGCGGCCACGCCGCCGCCCGAGGCGGAGGCGGGGGGCGACGCGGCCGGGGGAGCGGTGGGGGGCGACGCGGCCGGGGATGCGGCGGGGCCGCCGCTCGAGTGGCTGCTCGAGCTGTGGGCGCTGCTCGGCCGGCAGCAGTCCCAGGTCGACCTGACGGGGCTGGCGGGCTGGCCGCTGCTGCCGACGCGCCGGGGCGAGGCGTACGCGCTCCCGAGCGGCGGCGCGCGCGAGACGCGCATGCTCGAGATGAGCGGGCTGAGCGACCCCCTCGCGGAGGCGCTCGAGCGGGCGGGCGTCCTCTGTGTGCACCCGGCGGCCAACCTGTCGAGGCGGGAGCTGCGCGCCTACGCGCCGCTGCCGACGGCGTGCGCCGTGCTGCGCGCGCTGCAGGCCGCGACGCGCGCCCGCCCCGGCGCGGCGCCGGCCTTCGCGGAGCTGAGCCTGGCGGAGCGGCGGGCGGTGCGCGGCTTCCTCGCCGAGCGGCGCCCCGCCGAGGAAAGCGAGCTGACCAACGCCGACCTGGTGCCCTTCCTGCGCTCGCTGCCCATCTTCGAGCTGCACCGCGCCGCGCCGCCGGACGGCGAGGCGGCACCGGCACCGGCGGGGGAGTGCGTGCCGCTGCAGCGGGGCGTGCATTGCGTGGCGCCGCCGGGCGTGCCGGAGTCGCTGCTGGCGGGCGGGCGCTTCGTGCGGAGCGGCTCCGAGAGCGAGCGCCGGCTGCTCCGCTTCTTGGGCGTCGAGCAGCCCGCCCGGAGCGCCTTCTTTCGCTCGCACGTCTTTGGCCGGCTGGCCGACCTGCCCGCCGAGGCGCGCGACGGCGCGATGGTGTCGGTGCTGCGCGAGCTGCACGCGCTCGGCTCGGAGGACGCCGGTTTCGTCGACTCGCTGCGCGAGCTGCGCTTCGTGCCTACGGCGGGCGGCTCGCTGCACCGCGCGAGCGAGCTCTTCCATCCAAAGGTGCACGCGGCGGCCGAGCTGCTCGGGGTGGAGGGGGCGTACCCGGCGGGCGTCTTCAGCGCGCCCGACCTGCTGAGCGCGCTGGAGCGGCTCGGGCTGCGCGGCGAGGTGACGCGCGGCGCGGTGGTGCAGAGCGCGCGGTCGGTGCAGGAGCTCTCCGCCAGCGACGGCGAGGCGGCGCTGCGGCGCGCGCGCGCGCTGCTCCGGTACGTCGACACCCACGCCGCGGCCCTCCCTGAGGACGGCGCCTTCGCTGCTCGTTCCGACGAGGCGCCCGCCGAGAGCGTGGCGGTGTCCGACCCATTCGTCGGCCACCGCGTCTCCATCTCTGGCTTGATTGCGCGCCCGGACCTCAACGGCAAGGTTGGCCTCGTGGTCGACGCCTACGGCGAGTCGCGCTACACCGTCTACGTCGACAGCGTCGACACGCCGGAGACGATCGCCCTCCGGCCAGTCAACCTGCGCGTGCTCAACCCGAAGGCGGACGCGCCAGCGAGCGATCCGGCCTCCGCCTCACGGCGACCCGCCTACGAGGAGCTTCGTCAGGTCCAGTGGCTGCCTGTGCTGGCCGCCGCTCCGATCGAAGGCCTCCCGTGGCGGCCGCACTCGCCTTGCGTCGCTTCTCCCGACAACACACGCCCCGCCTCCGACGTGTGGCTGGTCTCCTTCTGCGCCCACCTGCTCGACGGCGAGGTCTCCTCGAGCTTCGTGCTGGAGCTCTTTGGGTGGGACAAGCCGCCACGCCCCGCCTTGCTGTGCGCTCAGCTCGCCGAGGTCGGCTCCACCTACTCTGCGGAGGTCGGCCCGGACGAGGCCGTCCTTCTGGAGCACTGCATCGGCCCGATCTACGAGCAGCTGCAGCAGATCGTCGGCGCGCCCGAGTTCAGTGGCGTCAAGGCGGCCCTGAGCCGGCGAGCCACCATCTGGACCGGGCCGGAGCGCGGTCTCTTGCCTCCCTCCCAGGTCTCCTTCGACGACGACGCCTCTCTTTGCCGGTACCTCGCAGTCGCCCCGCCTTCGCTCTCGCCCTTCCGCACGCTCCTCGTCGCCCTTGGAGTCCGCGAGTCGTCCTTTTCGGCCGACGATTTCCTCAAGGCGAACACGTGCTTTGTCCGAGACTATGGCAGCAGCGCCCCTCTGCCGGAAGCCGCGCTGCAGGAATGTGTCCTCAACCTGAGGCTCGCCTCGGCCCGGGGGCTCTCTCCGGAGACGAGCCCTGTCTTTCTCCCGGACGCGGACGGCATTCTCCGCCCTTCTCCAGAGCTGACATTTAACGATGCGCCATGGATGCCCTCTGCGGGCCAGGCCGGCACCCGGTTCGTGCACGGCTCAGTCGAGCCTGAGCTCGCAGAGCGGCTTGGCGCGCAGTCGCTGCGGCAGCTCCTCTTGCTTCGCGACAAGTTCACAGACACCTTCCCGTGCCCCTCCTCCACCCAGATCCAGGAGGCGCTCGCCGGGTTCGGGCACGAGTCGAACGTGCTGCTGGACCTGCTCGAGGTAGCCGACGTGCTTGGCGCCAAGGGAGTGCACTTTTGCTGTGACAGGCGCCTCCACCCGTCCGAGTCGCTGCTCTTCCCCACGCTCGTCGAGTTCCAAGGGCCCGCCCTCTGTGTCTTCATGCCCGGGGTGGCGCTGACCACCGAGGAGCTGTGCCTGCTCCACCAGCACAGCGCCGACCGCTGGTTCAAGCTGCGCGGCCGCACTCCGCGCTTTGGCCGGCGCTTTGCGTCCGCGTACGCGCTGGGTGAGGTGAGTGGGCTTGTGAGCGGTGGCCAGATGTTCCTCTGCGACCCCTCTGGACGCTACCTTCCGCCTGGGGCCTCGGGCAGGGCTGCCGAGGAGGCCGACACGGGCGCACCGACCTCGCTCCCTGTCGGCAGAGTGTACCCGCTCGTGCCGGGTGACCTGCCTCGGCGCTTCCCCGACCAGTTCGCGCCCTTCTCCATGTTCGGGTTCGATGCACTGTCGGGCAAGCCTCTCGACGGCACCATACTGCGCCTTCCGCTTCGGTCGGAGGCTCAGGCGGCGAGCAGCAAGCTCTCGGGAGAGGCGTGGAGCGCGACCCGCCTCCACGGCACGTTGACGGAGTTCCGCTCTCGGGCGCAGACGACGCTCATCTCCCTGGAGACGATCGAGGCGGTGTCGACCTCGGAGTGGCTCCCCGACCAGACCAGCCCGGTGCGCACGCTGATGGTGTCGCTCTCCATGCCGCAGAACGACGCGTCGCAGCGGGGCGCCGTCCTGCACGACTCGAGCTGGAAGAAGTCGGGCCTGTCGAGCCTGTTCAACCGAGGGAAGAAGGAAAGCATGCTCGTCTTCGACCTGCTGGAGGTGTTTCGCGAGCTCAAGGAGGAGCCGCTCGGTGAGCAAGCTTCGGGCGAGGAAGAGGAGTCTGCGAGGGAGACCAACCAGAGGCTTGCCGCCCACAGCTCGTCCTTCTTCTCCGCCTCCTCCTCCATGTCCTTCACGCCGCCCGTTCACCCAAGCGCGGTTGGCGGGACGTCGATCGATCACATTGACCTGGCCATCGAGGAGGGGGTTGAGGGCGGCGACGGGCTGGGCGGCGGCAAGGGCGCAGGAGCTGGCGCCCCCTCGCTGCCGCACAAGCTGGTTGCTGGCACTGAGGAGCACCGGCAGTGCAGATGGGTGGTGAGCGAGGCGCTGGCCGTCGAGGGCAGCCGCGCGCTCGCGCTCGAGCCCCAGTACGCGGCGCTCGGCAAGGTCCCGCATGCGGCGGTGGCTGCGCAGGTCGCGTGTGACGGCGCGCCTCCCACCCGCAGGGAAGGGCGCTGCTTCGGCGCCCCGCTCCCGCTCCACTCGTGCAGCGGGCTCCCAGTCTACGTGTTTGGCCAGTTCGAGCTCAGCAGTCCCGGCCGGGAGGTCCTCCTCATCCCAGATGCGGCGGACCCGCGCTCGCTCAGCGCCGTCGCGTGGAACCGCGCGCTCTTCGCGTGCGTTGCTGCCGCGTACGCCGCCCTCCTCAAGGGCCTCCCCCGCATGCTCGGCCTGCCAACCTCAACGAGCTCGCCCGGCTCGATGTACGGCTTCTGGCCGCTCTCCGCGTCCGTCGCGCACGAGGAGCTGCTCCCGCTGCTGCTCGGCCCGCTCTACCGCTCGCTCTCCACGCAGCCGCTCTTCCTCGCCATCCCGCGCGACCTCGAGGACGGCACTTCCGAGCCGGCGTCCCGGAGGCAGCGGCCCGTTCTGCGGCGGCTCGAGGACGGCGTCGTCTGCCCGCCCGCCGTGTCGGGAGAGCTCCACCAGTTTGTCCAGACGCACGGCATCTAGATGACATGCTCACCCACCCGGCCTAGATGCGATGCTCACACACCTAGATGCCATGCTCACCCACCCGGCCGGGGAGGCGGCGACGCGCGCGAGAGAGGGCACGCGCGGCGCGGCGTGGGTGGTGCGAGGAACGGGCGGTGGGCAGACCACCCTGAGGCTCCACCCGCACACGCCGCCCCCTCCCTCGTCCCTGCGCAGGCACTTCACCTCCTTTGACCTGCCCCCCTCCCTGCGAGAAGAGCTGCTCACGCTTGCCCCGCCGGGCACCCGCCCCTTCTCGCCCGCCGAGCTCCGCGCCTACCTCAAGCGCAAGCTGACCGACCCGAAAAAGCGCGAGAAGCGGCTCGCACACCGGGCGTGGGCAGGCATGCACAGCGCCGCCTTCTGCCTGGAGCTGCTCGACTTTTGCATCGGCGACCTTCAAGGCGGCGGCGCAAAGGGCGGCTTCGCCAACCTCGTCGGGCTCCTGCTCCTACCCCTGGCGTCGGGCGGGCTCGCATACGTCGGGCAGGCGAGCCGGGGCGGCGAGCCCCACGTGGTCGCCACCGTGCAGCAGCAGACCCTGCTCCCCCACCTGAGGAGCCGCTTCGTCAGCCCGGAGTGCACGGCGCACGAGACGCTCGGCGCCTACTTCTTGCACAATGACGAGTTTCTGCGCGCCGCGCGCCTGCAGAGCGTCACCCTCTCCTTCTTTGCACAGCAGCTGCAGCCACTCCAGATGCAGCCGTCCGCCACCTATCTGCACACCGTGTGGCAGACCATGGGCCGCAGTGCCGGCGGCGCGATCAAGCCGACTCCGGAGGTCGTCGAGCTCTTCGGCAGCAAGACGTTGCTGCCCCTCCGCTCCGGGCAGGTTGTCGCGGTCGGAGAGCTGTCGAGCACGCTCGCGCTGCCGGCGCCGCTGCTGCAGCTCGAGCTGGACGGGGCGGCGAGTCACTGGGCACCGCAGGCATCGCAGGCGGCGGATGCGGAGCCCGCTGCGGCGCGCCCAAGGGTCGACGAGCTGATGTCGACGCTGGCGGTGCCGGTCGTCGACACGGCCTTCGTGTGCGTCGACGAGGCGCCGCTCAAGGACCAGACCGCCGCGGCGGAGGCGCTCGCGGGCTACATCGCTGCTGACGCCACGGAGCCGCACCAGCTCGCGCCGGCGCTGGTCGACAAGCTCGGCGCGCGCGACGCTGCCCACGGAGCGCTGGAGTGGTCGCAGCTCTCTCGCGACGGGTCTCGGGCGCTCTTGGGGCTCTTTGCCGAGCACCACGTCCGCGAGGAAGCCGTCGCCATGGCTCAGGACTGGCCGCCCGCCGACCCGGACGCGTCGACCGAGGAGGCGAGGGAGGCGGCCAACGGCTCGCCGCGCCTTGTCTCTGCGGGGAGGGCGGCGGCGCTGAAGCGGATGCCCCTCTACGAGTCGGTGCAAGGGAGCCTCGTGCCGCTCGAGCCGCGGCGGTACCTGCTCCCTCAGCGGCACCCCTTCTTCACGCCGCGCACCGATGAGTTCCTCACGCCGACGGCGCCGGCGCCGGTCCTGTCGCTGCTGCGAGCGCTCGGCGTCGAGAGCCTCGAGGACGCCGACGTGTTCGAGAAGTTTCTTCTCCCGGCGTTTGGAGAGGCGTCGCTCGAGCGGCAGGAGGCGATGCGAAGGCACCTGCTCGCCAACTGGCAGAGGCTGCGGCAGCACGACGGCGTGCGCGCCGCCCTCTCCCGCACGCGGTCCGTGCGCCGCCGCCCATAGGGACGCCCCCCTGCCTTGGCTCACCACCACCGCTGCACGCCTGTAGGTTTGTGCCGACAGCCTTCGGGCTCCTCGCCCCCTCCGAGCTCCTCGACCCACGCAACAACCTTCTCAGCTACATCTTCGGCGGCGAGGACCGGTTCCCCGCGCAGCAGTGCTCGACGGAGGAGTGGCTGGCCATGCTCGGCGCCCTCGGGATGAAGACGCAGGTGGACCGAGACGCGTTCCTGCAGTGCGCGAGGAAGGTGGAGGCGCTCGGTGCATCGACGAGCGACCGCCCTCCGCCCGACGTGCGGCTCTCCCTCGACCCAACAGCCTCCTCGCACTCGTCTACCCACCCAGCTCCTCTCTCTCTGCTCGTAGGTCCTGTCTCGCGCGGGCCTCCTCGCCACGCACTTGGTGGACAACCTGACGACGCTCGCGGGCGCTCCTGCCGACGCCGCCCCAGTCTCGTCCGAGGAGCTCGTGGACGACGACGCAGCAGCCTCCCCGGCCGAAGCGGCGGCGGAAGCCGACGGGTTGAGCGCCCCCGACTTCTGCACGGCGCTGCGCGGCATCCGTTTCGTGCCGTCCCACGCGCCTGTCGCCAGCCTCGCGCCGCACGAGGGTCCGCCCACTCTCGCGTCCCTCGAGGAGTGTGCGCTCCACACGGACCGGCACCTCGTCTGGACGGTCTCTCCGCTCCTCAAGGAGGAGTGGGCGCCGCCGCGCAGCCTGTGGGCCCGGCTGGGGCTCGTCCACCCGCCGCCGTGCGACCGTGTCGTCTCGCACGCGCACAACCTCTCCCAGTTCACAGCCGACGCGTGGCCGTGGGAGGGGCAGCCACCGGAGGAGGTGTTCGGCGCACTCTGGCTCTACATCAGCCAAAACCCGTCCCTCATCGGGCCGGAGGCTCGGAAGCGCCTATGCGAGCTGCCGACGGTGCTGTGCGGCGCGGCGCTCGTCAAGCCGTCACGGATCTTCCGCTCGTGCTTCCCGTTCTGCCAGCCGCTGATGCAGCCGCTCTCCGCGGTGAGAGTACCGCCTTGCGTTGCGCCGAGCCTTGTACGCCTGTCAGCGTCGGCTGCACTCGACCGCAGGTGAGCCTCTCGCCGCCGCCCACGCCCGAGGTGCTGCTCGGCATGGGCATGGGCGAGGAGCCGCAGCTGCACGACTTTGTAGCGCTGCTGCGCGAGGTGCTGCGAGAGTACGCGTGCGTGCGGCTGAGCCCGAGCGAGCGGCGCGCTCTCCTCGGGATCCTCGAGCAGGCGAGCAGCCCGGCGTTGCATGCCACGCACCCTCGCCCCTGCACCCTCGTCACCCCACCACCCCCGCACGCTTCACGCCCCGCCCCCCCTCTCTCGCAGGCGACCGAGTGCCGCGGCTTCCGCCCGCGCGCAGACATGGCGGTGCCGACGGTCGAGGGTGGAGTCGCCCCGCTCTCCTCGTCGGTGATCAACGACGCGCCCGACTTGCTGCGGCGCGTGCGGCCCGGCTCACTGCAGGCCGCCAGCCCGGCTCTGTCTCTGGAGGTGCGTGCCGCCCTCAAGGTGCGCCGGCTGAGCGAGGCGGTCCGCGAGGAGTTGAGCCGCGAGGAGAGCGACCTCGAGCCGGTCGAGCTCGCCCGCGCCGAGGAGCTGGGCCTCCGCATCCGCGGCGCGGGCTTCGCACGCGCCGCTGCCGCCCTGCTCGCCAGCGAGGCGGCCAGGCGGGACCCCGCTCTGCAGGCTGCGCCGCAGCGGCTGCGGCCGGAGGCCATCGTCGAGGCGCTGGCACCGTACCGCGTGGTGATCGTGCCGCGCATCCAGACGCGGCTGCGCGCCGTCCCCTCCGACGAGGCGGTTGGCGTGGCGGGAGAGGGGCCCTCCTCGGCGTGGTTCATCCTGCCGGCCAGCACGATCTTCCTCGAGGCGAGGCCCCGCTGCGGCACGAGCCACGAGGAGCTGCTCTCGCTCGCCGTCCTCGCGCTGCTGCAGACGGAGCCGCCCGCCACGCTCGCGCCGCTCCTCTCCTGCGCAGCCTCGGACCTCGACGACGCCCTCAGCCTGCTGAGATACGCCCCCCCCGCCCGCTTCGAGGCGGCGGCCAGCCAGTGCACGCCCGGGACGCCCGTGAGCGCCGCAGACGAGCCGCTCCTTCAGCTCAAGCCGCTGCGGCCCCTGTTCACGGCGGAGGTTGTGGCGGTGGACGCGCCCGCGCCCGGCTCGGGCCGCGTCTACGCGCTCGTCGATGGCGTCGGCGAGAGAGGGGACGCGCGGGCGGCGGTGAACCTGCGCGTCGGCGGCGGCCAGACGCGCGCCGTCCTCCCGCTCTCCGTCTTTTCGTTCCGCTCGCTGCGGCTGCCTCTCGGCGACGCCGTCCCGCTGGCAGAGGATGCCGGCGGGCCGTCGCACGAGGCGGCGGGCGGCGAGGGCGCGCCGGCGCCCGCCGCGGCTCCCGGCTCGGGCGTCGGGCCGGGCGCGCTCGTGGCGGCCGTCGAGTCTGTGCTCGCGCAGGCGAACGTGCCGCTCGGTCTCGAGCGCAAGGAGATGCTGGCGCGCAACCTGCAGCTGCAGGAGGAGCTCAAGATGTCGCGCCGCGAGCTGCAGGGCGCCCTCCGCGAGGCCAAGGCGGCGAGCGACGAGCTCGGTGAGCTCAAGGAGAGCAACACCTGCCAGATCTGCCTCTCGCGGCGCGTGGACGCGCTGCTCGTCGGCTGCGGCCACCTGCTTTGCCGCCAGTGCGTGGCAACAATTACCGCTTCTGGCAACAACCGCTGCCCCTTCTGCCGGAGGGACTACGAGCAGGTTGCGTTGTTCTACGCCGCTTCTCCGGATGGGTCGGGCATGTAGAAGGTAGGTGATCTGGTGGGGTCGACAACGTAAAGCCGTGAAGCTAACGGCGTATACGGTTTCGTGGTTCTCGTCTTTGACTTTGTGTTGTCCGGAGAGATCGTCGTATAGGTACGGTAAGGTAAGGTAAACTTCTCCACACACACAAGGTGGTGGGGCAAGGGCGGGGGCGTCCCGCGTCCCTTCGCATTATACCCTTAGGCAGCCCTAGAGGCAGCCCTATATGAACAAGTCAAGACCGCGGCTCTACGCTCTTGTGTGTGTTGCGAAAATCATACGTAACAATCCTCTGGTAGAGATGATGTCATGCCCGCTTCCCTCTGTCATCATCTAGTTTGTCCATCACCGGCGCATCCCACCGCGCCAGCGCGACTGTGTGCGTGGGAATGGCGCAAAACTCCTCACACAGCGCGCGCAGGGCCGCCGCGCTCGGCAGCTCGCCCGAAGGGATGCCGAGCTTCTCGTGCTCTATGCCCCCGGCGATAAAGGCGACGGGCACTCCCGCGCGCACCGCGCCAGCGACGTCGTGGTGCATCGAGTCTCCGATGTGCAGCACCCGCTCCTTTGGGAGGCCGAGCCCAGCGACGCACGCCTCAAAATGCTGCGGGTGCGGCTTGCCGTAGTAGATCACGCGCCCGCCCAGCTCCTCGTAGCGCGCGGCGATGTGGCCCGGCTGGTACGTCATCGCCTTGCCGGGCTTTGGCGGCGAGACGAAGTCCGGGTTGGCGCAGATCATCGGCAGCGCGCGTGCGATAGCACGCGAGAAGAGATCCTCGAACGGCGTGACGTCGCCGCTCTGCTCGCAGTCAACGGCCAGCACGCTCGCGCCGTCGCGCACGACGTTGGTTCCGCTCGCCAGCAGAAAATCGGCCCGCTCCACATCGGCTAGGCCCACTCCCGTCCCGTCGAGGTAGTCACTCACGCCGTCACCGTCCTTCTTCGAGAGCCACACGCACGCCTTGCCGCGCCACTCGGCGCCAAGCGCGTGCCACGCCTCCTCGCCGCTCGTGGTCACGGCAGCAGCCACAAAGTGGTCCGCGGAGAAGCCGAGCTTGGGGAGCTCGCGGAGCGACCACTCCTTGCGCTTTGATGAATTTGAGAGGATGCCGAGCCTCTTTCCGGCCGCTGCGAGCCGAGCCACAAGCGCGGGTGCACCATCGAGCGCCGTCGCACCGTTGTGCATCACACCAAACTGGTCGAAGATGAAGCCGTCGTACTCGCTCGCCAGGTCGGAGAACGCGGCCAGAGAGGGCATAAGAGCGTGTCGGTGTCTACAGCGGCACCGCGCCCGGGGGGTTGGCGGGGTTGGCGAGCGACGGCCTGGGTGAGTGATTTCTTTCTTTTACTGGCGCGCACTGGCATCGCCTCGTCATATTATTAATTGGTGTATGCACATGTACGCGATTGAGAATAATCACTACGCTCTACGGAGAGAAAAAGTTCTTGTTCCTTTCGCATTTCGGGCGCGACATTTGCTGCGCCGGACGCTGCCGCTGCCTGCAGATCGCTGCCGTTTTGGGTACCGCCCGCCACTGCTGCGACGGACGGCGGCGACGGACGGCGGCGACGGCAAAGTTCGTCGGCTGGCGAGAAGCGGCCACCAGGCGCCAGCCTCGAGGCCCGCGGCCCACCGCGACCGGCGGCGCGCTAGGCGCCTCCCGTGCCACGTGCCGCCCTCGCGGCCACGTAGTCGACCAGGCTGCGGCAGCTCTCCACCTACACCGCACGACGGCCGGGTGCCACAGCGAGGCGCGAGCCGGACGCCGCGTCTCGGCGCGGCGAGCCGAGGGCGGTGCCGAGGAGGAGGCGCCGCCGGGCGGGTCGGCGCCGATGAGCACCACGGACGGCACGTGCGGCGCGAGGTAGGAGGCAACCTGCCTCGCGCGGGACGGGGGTGGCAAGTGGCGGTGGCGTAGGCGGCCAGGCCGGGCGGGAGGCGAGCGGCGGACAGGGCGCGAGACGGCCGCGCGCCTTGCGACTCGTGTCCAGGTGAGCGGCTGGCGAGAGCTGGCGACAGATGGCGGCGCGCCCGTCCTCGGTGGCGCACACCAGCGCCTTGCGACGGTCGCACGCGCCCGGCCCGAAGACGCCCGCCGCGCTCAGCGCGGCCATCACTGCCTCCTCCTGCGCGTCGCTGTCCGACTCAAGCTGCGTGACGAGGTAGATGTCGCAGGTGGCGGCTAGGGTGAGAAGCGCCGCGACGGCCGCGTCGTCAACCACCGGCGCTCCGCCGCGGAAGCTGAGCAGCACGCCGGGCGTCGAGACGCTGACGGCGCGAGCGCCGCTCGCTGCCGCGCCCGCCGACGCACCCGCCGACGGCGTCCGCCGCGCCGTGCGCGGTGGCCTCGGCCGGAGCAGCAGCCAGCACAGGAGGACAAGGACGATCGCGACGAGCGCGGGGCGGTTGGCGAGGTTGAGCAGGGCGAGCACCATGTGCCTCACTGCAAACACCGACACACCTGTCGCACTCGGCCTCGGCGCGCGACAGACAAGAATTCCAAAGAGTAGATAATTCAATGTGCTCAGCGTCATGGTTTCTCTAGCCTTCACGCGAGCCGCCTGACACCTCGTGGTGTAGAAAGAGCGATGGCCTCCACGCCAGGCCTCCGGCGCAGTCTCCGGCGCATCGACCGCGGCGCCGTCCTCGAGCTGCCTGGCGCGGGCGATGATTGCATCATCCTCGAGCTGCCGACCGCACTGGTTGAGCTTGTGTTTGCCGACCTCAGCGGCGAGGATCTCGACGCCGCCTTCCAGGCGTGTGCCACATTTGCCGTGCTCATCCGCGGCTCTGCGTCGATGATCGCGGCGGCGAGGGCCATCCACGTCGGCCTCGAAGTGAGCGAGGCGTCCTTCTCGAGCTTTGCTGCGAAGGCCAGCGTTTCGCCCGTCGCTCTGCTGATCCGGCTCGAGGCAGAGCACACGGAGGCCAACGCACTGGTGCTCTCGCTCGATGACGGCGACGCCCTAAAGCAGCTCGGTTCCATGCACTTGGTGGTGCAGGCGACGCACGCCGACGCCGTCGCAAGGCTCCTCCTTCCTCAAACCTGCCCCGAGGTCTGCTTCCACGCGCTTCAGATCCTTTGGCGCATGTTTCCTCACAAAGGGCACAGTGAGGACCTGGGCTCGAAGCACCTCGACACCGTGCTCGCCTCCCTCGCGATCCAGCGAAACGATCCCAATGTTCAGTTCGCTGGCTCTCTTTACCTTGGTGGCTTCCTGCTCCAGGATTTGATGGCGGAGCGCGGGGCCGCTTCTGACGAGCAGCATGACAAGGCCGCGGCCGCCGCCCTGCAGCAGCTGCAGTACCTCCAGGCGCACCCGGACATCTATGTGGGAGAAGATGGCCACGGGGCCTGGCTGCAAGACCTCGCATGTGCGTTCGCTGCGCTCTCTCACGCACGCCACGCGTGGATTTACAAGAACGCAATGGCGGCTCTCCTCGGCTACGCGACGAGCGAGGCTCCTGCGCCCGATGACCGCGAGGCTGCGCTCCACATTCTTCGGTTGGTGGACGAGGGGGAGGTGGACGAGGGAGGCTTCCTCAGCTCCCGCGGCTGGTTGGCCAGCCACGCGCTGCCTGCTCTCGGGGCGCTCCTCGAGGGCCCGGCAGACGAGGAGGATCAGGACAACTCGCAGCTGATGAAAATGCTGAGATACCTCCCGCGCTCGTCGGTCGCCTCGCACGCCCAAGCCCTCTTGGGGCGTCTCCGCGCGGCCAACGTCTCCGTGGCCAGCGCGGCCGGCGCCCTCCGCGGCCTCCGTCTTGTGGGCCCGCTGGCGGGGCACGGCTGGCTCGCATCGAAGGCGGGCGAGGTCGTGATCGACTTCTCCAAGCACTCGGACACCGACGTCCGCGACGCGGCCATGGACTGTTTCCTCATGATGTCGCGCGAGCCGCCCGCTGCGTTGCAGCCGCTGGCAGCCCGCCTCCTCGCACAGGCTGTGCTCAAGCCGCCAGCGGGCGTGCGAACCCGCAAGGCGAGGGAAGTGGCGCAAGTCGACGACACGCGGCGCGCCTACAGCCTGATAGTGCTAAGCGGGCTTGGCACAGACTTTCTCCTGGCGCAGGAGGCGTCGCTCGTGCCTCTTCTGGCCGACGCTTCCGCGACCGTACGCGCGGCGGCGGTGCGAGCAGTCGGCATGCTCGGCACAGACTTCCTCCTCCAGCAGGCGGCGTCGCTTGTTCCGCTTATGGCCGACGAGTCCGTGACCGTGCGTGCAGCGGCGATCCAAACGGTCGGCCGCTTCGGCCCTGGCTTGCTGGCGCATGCGCCAGCTCTGTGCGCCTGCCTCGAGGACTCGTGGGAAGCTGTGCGCATGCAGGCCCTGCTGGCAATCTGCGCCTTCATGGCTGCGTGGGACGAGCCCACTGTGGCGGCGGTCGTGCGCCGGCTCGGGGACGCCAGCGAAGAGGTCCGCCTGACGGCTGCGCAAGCCATCAGCGAGCGGGCGGGCGGCGACTTGCGCGTCGCTGATCCCGCTGGGCTCGAGCCGCACGTGGACGCCATCGCCACGCGCCTCGGCGACCAGTGCGTTCCTCGCTCCTATATCCCTACAAACACATTAGCTCGGGTCGTGACACTTGGCTCCACACACACAGGTGCGCGCTGGTGCGCATGTGGGCTCTCGAGACGATGATGGCGCTGCTGCCGCCCAGCGCGCTCGCCGCCCACACGGCCGCCATCGAGCAGTGCACGACACACGAGGACAAGGACGTGCAGGCCGTCGCCAAGCAAGTGGTCGCCACGATCGGAGGCCGCCGGTCGCCATGGCCAGCCATCGACCAGCGCGGCTCGGGGCTTGCGGATAACGACGAGCATGACGACGAGTGAGAGCGTGCCCATGACGCGGAAAACGGGCAGCTCGCGACCACTGCGCGGAGGGGCGGAGACACCGTGGGTGCGTAAGGCCATGCTTGTGGTCTATGCACTAATGGTCCGCGTCTGGACGCGTCGGGGCGTGTCTGAGCCTGAGCGCTGCACTGAGAGGGGAGGGGCGCGGGGGAGAACGAATGAGATGCGATCTGAGATGGGTGAAAACTGAAAAGGAACAGGTCCCCGCCCGTCGCGCGGCTCGCGCGGCAAAATGTAAACGAGAATGAATTAAATATATCTTATTTTTCGCCTGCTCACTTGACTCTTGAGACTTGTCAGATGATTTTAGTGTCTAGGTGCTCGCGTCACATAACATCTCCCAGGCGGCGGGGGCGCCGTATGCACTAGCTCAGTTGCCCCCCGCTTGCCGGCACAGGGCCCGCGCGCAAGCATATTGCGAGCGGGGAGGTGCGCCCACGTCCCCGTCCCGCACCAAAACGGCCGGATGGCGGTCCCGCGCGAGGAGAGATCCCCGACACGTCCATGGTACTCTCCGGGCGGCTCCCTCATCAGGCGGGGAGCTCAAACGGCTCTGGCGGCGCCGGCTCCTCCTCCTCCGCCCCCTCGCTCGCCGCGGCGAGCGCCGCCGGCAGCGGCAGCAGCTCCTCCTCCGCGTCGGGCGCCGTGTCCTTGAGCATGATGACCCCGGACGTGCGACCCTTGGCGACGGGCTCGTACCTCGACGCCGGCAGCAGCGAGCAGAAGCGCTCCTGCGAGCGAAGCACGCGCGACGGGTTCTCGAGCACCTCAAAGTCGAACTCGGCCTCGTCCGCCTTGTCGGGCTGCAGCTTGAGCACCGCCGCCACCGCCGCGGTCGAGATGTCTCCCCGCGCGTGCGCCTCCCGCACCTCGCCCACCAGCGCCTCCAGCGACGGCTTACCAGCCGCGCCTGCATCGGCGGACGTGTCCATCGCGTCGCCGGCGTCCCCCGCGCCGCCGCCCTCGCTCTTGGCGGCGACGCCCGTGAGCGAGGCGTGCAGCACGCCCGAGAGCGAGCCGCGCTTGTGCAGCTCCGTCAGCTTCGCCTGAGAGCGCGCGTGACCGGGCCGGGTCGGGGGAGAGGGGGGGGCGGGGCAGGGCGCGGCTCGGGCCCCGCACCAGCATGGCGTCGCGCGCGGCGAGGTCCGCCTTCTCCTTGGCGACCCGCTCCTCCTCGGCGCGCTCCGCCGCCTTGGCCTTCTCCGCCGCCTCGGCCTCCGCCTTCTTCGCCTTGTCGATCTTGGCGGCCTTTGCCGTCGTCGAGAGCGAGGCGGTCGCGACCGTCGACGCGACCTCCTTCTTCTCGTTAGAGGTTGGCGGCGGGTAGGCGAAGGCGGAGGGCGGCGCGCCCGACTTGAAGCGCCACTGCGGCATGCGCAGGTCGGCGTTGAGGCCGATGGCGGCGGTTGGCGTGAAGGCGAGCGAGACGAAGAGGAGGAGCGGGTGCCAAAACCAAAAGTGCGAGAAGATGCCCATGCCGACGATGGCGGGCATGATCTTGTTGCCCGTGCGCGAGGTGAGGCCGATGGTCACGTTGCGGCCGCCCGCGTCGAGGAGGCCCGTGGCGACGATGGCGCCAAACTTGGTCATCGTGTCCTCGTGCTTGTCGCCGACCACCTTGCGCAGGTCCTCGCGGTGCTTCGAGAGCTTCGAGTCCGCCTTGTGGTCTGCGCTCTGCATGAGCACCATCGACGAGGCGAGGAGCGCGCCCTGCCGCACGTAGTCGACGGGGTCGGAGAGCATGGGCGTGAGCAGCTCGAGCGCCTCCTTGGAGCCGGACCCCGCGCACGAGATGCCGACCGCGAAGGCGGAGCCGTACCGCACGTGCGGGTTGTACGACTCGGCGAGCAGCTTGACGACGCGCGGGCACTGCGCGGGCGTGTTGGCGAGCACGAAGCCGATGGCGATGACGGCGGCGCGGCGCACGTCGTCCGACACGTCCGACACGGCCACGTGCAGGCACTTTCGCAGCGCCGCGTTGGAGCCGGTCGCGGCAAACGCAAACGCGATCGTGTACATGGCGCCGTAGCGCAGGATCGGGTCCTGCCCGGGGACGGTGAGGGAGGGCGGTGAGGGGAGGGGCGGTGGGAGAGAGTGGCAAGGGGTCGTGGTCAGAGGAGAGGGGCGCTCGTGACGAGAGGCGGCGTGTGTGCGAGCGGCTCTCGCTCCTGCTCGTGCAGCAGCGTCGTCACGAGCGGGTCCGCCTCCTCCTCGCGCCCGTACATGCAGAGGGCGATGCCGATCGCGAGCCCGCGGATGATCTTCTCGTGCGCCGTGTCGTGCGCGTACCCGAGCATCTCCTCAATCGCCTGAGGCGCATGGACCCCGTGTGACGCGAGGCGGTCGCGCGGTCGCGCTGCGCGGGCGGCCCCTCGAGGCCGCGCCTTTGGCGACGCCGAGCCGAGCATGAGCAGTCCCATCGCGAGGGCGGCCGCCTCGCCCGCGACGGCCGAGTCGTTGAAGAGGACGCCCTTGAGCTCCTCGTAGAGGTCCTCGTCCTCGGAGCCCATCATCGAGATGCCGATCCCCAGCGCGCAGCCATGCTGCACGACCTCGTTGGTGCCGGCGCTGCGCAGCGCGTCGAGCAGGTAGGCGCGGATGGAGTGGCCGTGGTTCGCGTGGATGATGCCGAGTGCGAAGAGGGCGCCGCCCTCCGAGTACGGCGAGGCGGACATGCCCGCCTGCGGCAGGTACGGCGCCAGCAGCGAGAGCGCCTGCTTGACGTGGCCGCGGTGGATGACGCCGAGCGTGGCGGTCGCGGAGAACTTTGCCCAGTTGGTGGCGCGCGAGAGCCACTCGAGGTTGTCGCGGAGGAACGAGTCGGCGGTGGTGCCCGCGTTCATGAGCGAGTGCGCGAGGACGATCGCCGAGTGGCAGAGCGAGTTGCGCTGGTCGGCCGCCTTCTTCATCCCGGTCAGGATCAGGGTGTCGGTCTTGTTTGAGCGGACGAGGAACTCGAGGCTCAGCCTGCAGGCGGGGCGCGAGATATGGGGAGATATGCGGAGATATGCGGAGATATGGGGAGATATTCCGACGAGGGAGCTGGCCCAGCGGGCGGGGCGCGGGAGGGTCGCGGGCGCGGACGTGGCGTCACGGCGCGACGGCGCTGTGTGGACGCAGCGGCGAGAGCCCACAGAGCCCACAGAGCCCACAGAGCCCGCAGGGCACGCGCAGCGGGAGGCGTGGGCTGGCGCGAGGGGGGGGCCGCGGTGTGGAGAGAGGCTCGGGGCGCGCACCCGATCGACGCCTCGCCCGAGAGGATGAGCTGGAGGTTGGCGTGCGCCTTGGAGGCGGCGGGCTCGACGACCTCCGCGGGCGGCGGCGCCGCCGCCGCCGCCTCCCCCTCCGCCGCCCCCTCGGCGGCCGACGGCTCGGCCGCGGCGGGCGGCGGCGGCTTTGCCTTCGTCCGCTCGGCGACGAGCTTGAGAAAGGCCTGTGTGCAGTTGTCGACGAGGTCGAAGGAGATCTGGAAGGCGGCGAGGCGCGCCTCGGCGCTCTCGCTCTCGATGAGCTGCGACAGGATCGCGGCGACGCCCGCCGCGTCGCCCGCCTGCGCCAAGCAGCGCGCGAGGCCGAGGTACTCTGGCGCGGGCAGGCCGCGGTAGATGGTGACGAGCAGGGCGATGAGGGTGGCGCGGAAGGAGCGTGGCACGACGGCGGAGGAGAAGAGGCCGAAGCAGTACTCGAGCATCTTGATCGTCGAGGCGTCGTGCTCGAGCTCGCCCGGCTTCGCGTCGCACAGCAGGATGATCCGCTCGATGAGGTCGGTGCGGCGCGCCTCGAGCGCCAGCCCCATCACCATCTGGTACGCGCGCCGCTCGAGCGAAGACTCGACCATCCGATCGACGAGATCGATGAGCCGGCGGTCGATCGGCGCCTCTGCCGCCGTGCTCGACCCGCCCTCCTCCTGCGACCCCGTGGCCGCCTCGTACCGCTGCTGGTGCTGCTTGCAGTACTCGTCAATCGCCTTTGCGAGCAGCGTGTCGACGTACCTGCCGCGCGTCGAGAGCGGGCGGCGGAGATGGGGAGGGGCGGGGCGGCCGAGCCGAAGCGGCGGGCGGCGCCGCGCCGCCGCAGGCAGGAGAGGGGGGGGGGGGCGGGGTGCACTCGGAGCCCTCGTCAACATTGAAGAGCGTCTCGGCGCCGAGCGCAAAGACGAGCGCGTCCGCGTACTCGCCGAGGTAGTAGTACACCTTGGAGGCGACGAGCGCGGCGAGGCGCCGCTGCGGGAAGGCCTCGTCCTCGTAGAGCGCCTCGATGTCGGGAAGGGACTCGGAGATCTCGGCCCAAAAGTCGGGCACCACGCGCTCGAGCTTTTGCAGCGCGTGCACCTTGATCTGCGTCTCGCTCTCCTCGAGCATCGCGAGCAGCCCGACCGACGAGGTCAGCGGCGCGGGCGCCGGCAGCACGGCGGTCGCCATGGTCGGAGCGGCGGGTCGGCAGGGTGGGGCTGCGATGGAGAGAGCGGCGCGTCTGGGCGACGTCTTGTATTTTTTTGAGCTTAGCCTTCGGTGTTATGAAACAACGCAAGGCGGACATGGCATATCGCTCTCGGGCCCACAGACATCCCGCACACTCGCCGCACACCCGCCGCCCCCGCGCGCGCCCCACCCCGGCCGGGAGAGAGGGGAGTGACAGTTTGGGACGGCGACAGCCCGAGTATGTTGAGTCCTGGCTCAACAACGCAGGTTTCAAGAGGGGGTGGTCCGGCTCACAAGTCCGGCTCACGCGCCTCGAGCTGACCGATCTACCGCACTGAGCACTTCCGCCCCCTCGCTCCCAACCCATCCACCTCGCCCCGGGCCGCGCCGCGCTATCTCGGGCGATCTCGCGCTATCTCGGGCGATCTCGGAGCGTCGCTCGCGCGGCGTCACACCTGCTCAAAAAGGAAGGAGGTTGGAGGCAGGAGGTCACGCCCCATCCAGAGCGCCGTCGTCGCCGGGTTTTGGGCCCCCGGGTCGTCGCCCGACGGTTGCTGCGCGGGGCAGCAGACCATCGGACGGCGCGACGACGCCCCGTCCGGCACACTCCCCCCTCCACCCGGTTATTGCCGCACGAGCGCCCTCAGCGGCGGAATTTTTCCCTCGCGCTTCCTTGGGCCCCCGGCAACGCCGACGGACTTCCCGTCCCCCCACCTGCGCCGCAATCACCGCCGTGATTGTCGGCGCCGCGCCCCTTGGCGCCCGTGCATGTCCCGCGTGCCCGCCCGCCAAGGCTGGTGCCAAGGCCAACTCAACTGCCAAGGCTGGTGCCAGGGCCAAATCAACTGCCTGGCTGGTGCCAAGGCTCAAAGGCTCTCCTCTCTCTCTCTCCTCCCTCTCTCCCTCCCTCCCTCCCTCCCTCTCACCCCCCCCCTCTTCTCTCCTCTCCCCCTCCTCCTCTCTCCTCTCTCCTCCTCTCTCCTCTTCTCCCCTCTCCTCTTCTCATCCTCTCCCCTCTCCTCCTCTCCTCTCTCCCCCCCTCTCCCCCAGCAGCTTCCTCGAGGCCGAACAGGTAGATCCTCCCTGATCGCTAAGCTACCACAGGGGAAGTAGACGTCGTCCGCCGCCGCCTCCGCCGCCCGCGTGCCTCCGCCCCGCTCAGCAAAAAATCAGCATTATATCAGGAGGTGCCAAAGCCGCAGCATCTCCATGAGGTGAGCGTCGTGCGTTTTGCCGCCGCGTGCTGCCGCTGCGCCGACTGGCTCCCGGTTCGAGTCGTCCTTCGCGGAGCGAACGCGGCGATACGAGCGCACGTCGCGCGCGTGTGCGCCTGCGACAAGACGAGACGAGACGAGAAGAGAAGGAGAAGTAGACGGTTGATGCTTTTGCTGCCGCGGCCGCGCCGCGAGCTCGCGTCTGTTTTGGCGCCGACGACGCGACGCGCCCCGCTGCGTGAGATGGCGCCGCCGCGGAGTCGGCGCCGCGATCAACCGCGCGCCAGCGGCGAGCGGCGCAGCGCGGCCACCATGCGGCGCGACGTGCCCGCCGACCTTTCTTTTTAATTTTTTTTTGATATTACGGTAGGGTGGCCCGCGCCCTCCCGTCGGGGTTTCCCTCTCTTCACGCCGGAATTTTCACAGCAAAAAAGAAGTTTTCGGCGAAAATCACGACGAACGACGTCAACCCTCCCCATCTGGGCGATCTGGTGCTTGTAGGGCTTGAGAGTGGCCTGCCATGTCACAGGAAGGACTGCGGTTGCAGGAGAGTACGACCACCCATCACTTTAGTTGGTTTACTACCCCACCATCACGACGTGAGTTCTTTTTTAGTTTCCCATAAGTAGGGTAGGTAGGTAGGTAGGTAGGTAGGTAGGTAGGTACGTAGGTAGGGGCACCGCAGGTTGGCTGAGTATACTTTTCCTCTTACAGTTGCTTGGCGCGCCGACGTGCAACTTTAGTGTTTAGTATATGGAGAGTGTGGTCATAGGTCAAACGAGTAGACCCTTAGGGGACCCCTAGGCTTAAATAAAAGGGTGGGCCCTGGGGCGCCTGCGGCTTAAAGGGCTTAAAACTTGCCCGGGCAAGTTTTAACGTTTTAAGAGCTGCTGGGCCGCCAATTCTTCAAACGGTCTTAAACGCTTAAGGTCCTCCGGGCCAGTTTCGGGGGGCAAACCCTGCCCGGCCCCTAGAACCCCAGGTAAGGTCCAGGTGTGGCCTAGGGCATCAGAAGGGACCAAGAGGAGTCCAGTCTGAGCCATAGAGCCCATGTCTTTGCCCCCGAAGGTCGCGTTCAAATGCCCGGAACGGACGCTACAGTGGTGTCCGGCCGGCGCGATCACCGAGCTGTGACGCTCAGGGAAGCCTGATGAGGTGCTGGTTTCTTTGGCCAGGGCTGGCCTACGGCCCGTGCTGGATCAGCTGAGCAAGGTTTGGGGAGAATCCCCCGGACAGATCTTCAGATATTTGGACGGATGACCAAAATCACCCCGTTAGGATTCTCGCCAGCTCTGCTGAGGGGTGGCGCCGGGCTACGTACCGATCGCTCGACCTCGCAACCCCATATACACCCAGTCTACATCTACTCAAGATGCAAGTACAGGGAAGCAACATCAGCAGGCAGGAGGACGCATTTGAGTTCAAACTCCTCCAGCAATTTGGATTGATTCCACGCGCGCCTCCCGGACAGGGGTTGACCCGGAGTCCTGTGGAGGGCGGTGTGAATTACTCATGACATAATGAATACGGCTCATGGATCGATTGCCAAAATTTGGATTGCTTCTCTCTTCGTGCGTCCGCACATACAAGCGAACGCCAATGGCCTCGCTCGCCTATCAGGCAGCCGGCCTCCGCATCAATTCAGTCGCCCCGCCATCCGGTGTTCCCCGTGGTGTTCCAGTGTGGTGGGGGAGGCTCAGCGCCCACCACCGGGGATAGGTTTCGTCAGTATCGGCGTCGATCGGCGGCGCCGATACAGGGACCGAGGGAGTAGGCTAGCGCTTGTGGGCAAGAAAGACAAAGAGCGCATGACTCAATACAACTCACGTGCACGCCACCTCGTGCAAGTCTTATGGTTCGAGCAGGTGCGAAGACTGGAGGGGCCCTTTGCAGAGAGGCCAAGGCCCAAGCTAGCTAGAGTCGGTCGGCCTCTCAGTCAGGGCTATAAAAGAAAGAAAACAGACAACCCAAGGGAGGGATGGGAGGACGGCACGCCGCCACCACACAGGGATTTTAAGGAGAGGTGTGTGATGCGCTAGCCGTCGCCCACCCTTGGGCGTCTGCCTCTTCCTATCTCTTTTCGCAGTCTCTCGCCGCTTCTCGCTGCAACCTTCATGCCACCTCGCGGTCAGGGCTATAGTCAGGGCTATACCCCTGAGCACAGCACCGTGGTCAACGTCCACGTCAGCGGTCTCATGCCCGTCTTCCTGAGCGACGAGCTCAACTTCGAGTGGGATTCGCGCCTCAGCAGAGTCCTCCTACGGGAATGTACGTAAGAGCTACATACACTGAAAAAATCCGGCCCTCAGAACCCTATGTCTGAGGGAGGGTGTAGAGGATGTAGAGTGTAGAGCGCTGTAGAGCTGTAGAGATGTAGAGCGCTGTAGAGCGCTGTAGAGCTGTAGAGCTCTACATCCGCCGCGGGACGAAGTGCCTGCGTTGTAGAGCGATGTAGAGGCGCTCTACAACGTGAAATCTCTACAACAAACTCTACATCATAAACGGCGAACGAGGCACGGTCGCTCTCCGACATGAGGCGCGTTGCACTTGCCAGTGCTGCCCTGGCCTTCTGTCTGCCCGCCCAATGGGTGGGAGGTGCCTCTGCTGCTGTGGCATGCCTCACGGCTGCGACTGGCCGGCGCCTCGGTGCGTCAGCTCGGCTCGGCGTAGCGATAGTGGCCAGCGCAACTCGCCTGGACTCAACGCTCAGCCAGGAGCTCCCGCACGCGCTGGCGCGAGGCATGGCGTATGCAACGCGTCTGAATGCTCGCCTCGCCTCGCGCAAATGCGACCGTCCTCGCAGCCGACAGTCCACCGCCTGCTAAAGAAGCACAGCGATGAATGCGGCACCGGCGACGCATGGCAGGCTGGTCATGACGCAGTTATAGGGTGTTGTGTGTCGTCAGAGTGACTCTCTGTGTGTCAGGGATAGTCAGGGCCGTCCATTAGAGCTCCAGCAAGCTCGGAGACACCCCATTAGTGCGACTCGACCTCTTTGAGTCACTGCCTTCCCGACGGTTTGGCTGTAGAGCCTCTACAACAAACTCTGCAGCAAAATCGCGCTCTACATCGCTCTACAACGCAGGCACTTCGTCCCGCGGCGGATGTAGAGCTCTACAGCTCTACAGCGCTCTACATCTCTACAGCTCTACAGCGCTCTACACTCTACATCCTCTACACCCTCCCTCAGCCCTATGTGTGTGTGAGAGAGAGAGTGTGCGTGCGTGCGCAAATTTTGGCAATCGATCCATGAGCCGTATTCATTGTGTCATGAGTAATTCACACCGCCCTCCACAGGACTCCGGGTCAACCCCTGTCCGGGAGGCGCGCGTGGAATCAATCCAAATTGCTGGTGGAGTTTGAACTCAAACGCGTCTCCTGCTTGCTGATGTTGCTTCCCTGTAATTGCATCTTGAGTAGATGTAGACTGGGTGTATATGGGGTTGCGAGGTCGAGCGATCGGTACGTAGGGGATCGGTATGTGCGGACGAACGAAGAAAAAAATTTGGCACCAGCCTTGGCGGGCGGGCACGCGGGACATGCACGGGCGCCAAGGGGCGCGGCGCCGACAATCACGGCGGTGATTGCGGCGCAGGTGGGGGGACGGGAAGTCCGCCGGCGTTGCCGGGGGCCCAAGGAAGCGCGAGGGAAAAATTCCGCCGCTGAGGGCGCTCGTGCGGCAATAGCCGGGTGGAGGGGGGAGCGTGCCGGACGGGGCGTCGTCGCGCCGTCCGATGGTCTGCTGCCCCGCGCAGCAACCGTCGGGCGACGACCCGGGGGCCAAAAACCCGGCGACGACGGCGCTCTGGATGGGGCGTGACCTCCTGCCTCCAACCTCCTTCCTTTTTGAGCAGGTGTGACGCCGCGCAAGCGACGCTCCGAGATCGCCCGAGATAGCGCGGCGCGGCCCCGAGATCGCCCGAGATAGCGCGAGATCGCCCGAGATAGCGCGGCGCGGCCCCGAGATCGCCCGAGATCGCGCGAGATCGCCCGAGATCGCGCGGCGCGGCCCGGGGCGGGGTGGATGGGTTGGGAGCGAGGGGGCGGAAGTGACCAGTGCGGTAGATGGTAAGCTCGAGGCGCGTGAGCCGGACTTGGGAGCCGGACCACCCCCTCTTGTTATCTGCGTTGTTGAGCCAGGACTCAACATACTCGGGCTTTCATCCCAAACTGTCACTCCCCTTTCTCCCGGCCGAGGTGGGGCGCGCGCGGGGGCGCGGGTGTGCGGCGGGTGTGAGGGATGTCTGTGAGCCCGAGAGCGATATGCCATGTCCGCCTTGCGTTGTTTCATAACATCGAAGGCTAAGCTCAAAAACGGGTTAAAATTGGACGGACGGAAAAACACCCCCCTTTTATGCCTGACCCTGGCCATGGCCTCTCTGGGGGTGAGCTGGGCCGGCCGCCTCCGGGTCCGCCACTCGCACGGTGGGCTCGCGTCCAGGAGAGCATCCGAGACCCGCGGTTGTCCGCTCGCTGGGCGCGACCTACATGGAAATCCACTGCACACAGATCTGTGCTTTTGGCGCCTATTGCTCGCTCTCTGTGCAATCGCAACGCCAGAGGCCGTGCTTGGAGAGTGTGTCGCAGTGCTGCTACGTCAGTGGATTGAGCCGCGACGCAGGCTCCATCGGTGAGCTGCGGCGGCGCACCGGCCGCTCCATGCATGCTCTCCGGCGAGCCGTCGCAAACGCGTTTCCGTCCGCCCGTTTCATCGAGTTTGCCCGAGTGGTAAAATGCAATCGAATCTGCCCGAGTGGTCAAGTAAAACTTTGCCTTTCGAAAAGTTGCCCGAGTGGTCTGTGGGGAAAAACGAAAATCGAGACGGACTTCTTGAACGGCCGGGCAACATGTCTTCCTTACTATTATTAATTGATGCTTTTGCACGGCTGAGCCCCCCCCCCCCCCCCTCCCCCGCGCCCACTCCCTGCCCTCTCCCGCCACGCACTCCGTCAGAGCCCCCTCCCCTCTTGCACAACAGGAATTTTGACAATTAACAAGATGGTGCAGGGAAACACGAAACGAAATGATGGGCTTGCCCATCCCGGAGTGGTTCGATCCCACATGAATCCGAGACGGTGATGGGAGGCGTCTCGGCGGTCTCAGGCCCAGTGAGGTAGTGCGCCTGACTACCCCGGATCCTGCTGAACAAGCTCCTCTTGTAGCTCGATCGGTCACACCGCCATCGCCGTCGGGGACAGGGGGGACGACACTGCTTCGGCGGCGTGCACCTCGATCCTGTACCGTGTTTGTTATGACCCCCCCCAATGAACATACCAGTGAGGGAGGGCGAGACGATCGAGGGGTCCCGTACCACGCGGAATCGGCCCTATCCAGTGCTCAAGTGCTCAAGCCAAAAAATTTTGTTAGGAAGCACTTTACAGGAAAGTGCCTTGTACGATGGCGGCCGGGTTCTTACTCCAGTTCGCGTCCGCCCCCGCCGTGGTTGCACCCCGGCGGCACCCCGCCGTGGTTGGCCGCGCGTCGACGATCGGCGGCACGCCGGCTGTCACCGACCGCACTGCCGTCGGCACGCTCTCCCTCCCCTCCCTCGGCATCGGCACCATCGCGTGGAACGGCAAGACGGAGGAGGACAAGGCTCGCATCGCCGGCGTCGCTGCGGCGGCTCAGGCACGCGGCCTCGACTTCTTCGACACGGCGGAGCGGTACGGCGCATCGCCACTCTCCCTCATCCCCGCCGCACTCGCCGGGCTCGGGCTGCCCGTGGACAAGTCCTACCTCGGCGGCGACTGTGAGGTGCGGGGAGAGGCCCTGAGTGACCCTGAGTGACCTTTGCGCGGTTCGCGAGCCGTCCATCGTCCCCGCCGAGTCACAGATACCCCCCCCCCCCCCCCTGCACCGCCGCCCGCGATCCTCCCCCTCCCCCCCCCTCCCCGCCGCCTCACCCGGCCGGTCCCCTGCCCTTCTCAGTCCAACCTCGCGGAGTGGGGACGCGGCGCGACGGTGGCGACCAAGTTCACGCCGACGCCGTGGCGGCGCCAGGCGTCGGATGTCGTCGACGCGGCGCGCGGCTCGTGCGAGCGGCTCGGCGTGGACTCGATCGACCTCTACCAGCTCCACATGCCAGATATCATCCAGCCGTTCCGCGCGTTCGGTGCAAACCCGCTCCCCTCCTTCCTCCCGCGACCCCCGAACCCTCCTCCTCGGGCGAGAGCGGCGGAGTGCCAGCCCTCCGCCCCGCCGCCCAGGCGTCGTCGACCGCAAGGACGAGATCTACTGGGACGGCCTCGCCGAGGCGTACAAGAGCGGGCTCGTCAGGAATGTCGGCGTCTCCAACTACGGCGGCGCGCTGCTCGAGCGCGCGCAGGAGCACCTGGCGCGGCAAGGGGTGCCGCTCGTCTCGAACCAGATCGCCTTCAACCTGCTTTGCCGGCGCGAGGTGCGCGCCAGCCCTCGCACCGCGCCTCGGGCGGCGGCGCCTCATCCCTCACCCGCTCCCGCCACGCTTCCTGGGGCAGGGCTCTCTCGCGACGCTGGAGAAGGGCAACGAGCTCGGCGTGCGCACGCTCGCCTACTACCCGCTTGCGATGGGCCTCCTCACCGGCAAGCTGGCCGCGCGCAACTTGCGCCAGGCCGTCCTCGAGAAGCGCGTCTCGCCGCAGCGCGCGGCGGACCTCTGCCGCTACCTCGAGGGCGGCAGCGGCGGCACCGCCGGCGACATCCCGCGGAACGGCGTGCTGCCGCTGCTCGAGGCGGTGTCGGACGTGGCGGCGGCGCGGAGCAAGACGCCCGCGCAGGTGGCGCTCAACTGGGTCATGTGCAAGGGGGCCATCCCGGTGGGAGGCGCGTCGAGCGTCTCGCAGGTTGAGGACAACCTCGGCGCGCTCGGCTGGAGGCTCGAGCCGAGCGAGGTGGGCCAGCTAGACGCGGCGGCGGACGACCTGCCCTTCGACTTCAAGGGCGCCGGCTTCCAGACGACGGACTCAAAGTTCGTGGGCTACGGCTTCGAGCGTTGGGTCCTCAACTAGCGCCGCCGGCCGCCAAATCTCCGCCTCTCCCCGCCTCTGCCTCCGCCGGAGAAGGAGGAAGGGGGGGGGGGGGGGTTGGGGGGGCGGCGCGCGGCGCGATCCACCAGGGGGGGGGGAGGGCCAAAGGAGGGGTGTGTGGAGAAACCTCCCCTCGCCCCCCCTCCCCCGCCGCGCCTGATGCCATGTACGTTGTGAACCCTGCTCCCTCGTGTGTGCACTCCACTCCCCGCTTCTACCCCAGCCCAGTATGCCAGCTGCCCCCGCGCCACTAGCCGCCTCAGTGCGGCAGCACACCCGCCCGGTCTTGTCGCTCTCTTGCTCGTGCCCGTCTTACCATGTATCTCACACTTCTCGGCCCTCTCCCACTCCGCAGCGTGTCCACGTATCCCGTATCCGTCCGGATTCTTGTGAGTCCCTTGTGTCATGAGATTGTCTCTCGCATCTGGTGAGTGGGCCTGGTCCGAGGCCTTGTGTATATCGTATGTACCGAAGCCGCGTTGTCTTTTCTCTAAAACGCTGCGCGCGCAACAAAACAACAATCTCGCTGCTCGCGGTTCCTTTTTACCCATCTCACACTAGAGTGTAGAGAGGTGTCCGTTTTATTTATTTATTCGCACGTCGGTCGTCGCAGGGGCACCCAAGCTGCAGAACATGTGCGGGCCAGCGCCTATGACGCTCAAGGAGTCAGGCGCGGAGCGCCCCGCGCGCGGAGCGCGCCCCGAAGAAAATTTTGAGGGTTGTGGAGGGCTAGATGCGATTTCTATTATTAAGAGTTTGACTCACACGCTGGAACACCACACACCTAGGGGCACACCTCTGGTCCTGTCCGTCACCTCTCTCAGGACCCCTCTGCCACGGCCAGCGGTGTGCGCCGCCCGCCGGGCCGCCGGGGCCCCCGCGGGAGGTGTCAGGTGACCCAGGTGTCCGAGCTATGAATGCGACCGCCCTAATAGTTTCGAGAGGGGAGCTTAAAAAGCGGTTTTGTAGGCCGCGCGTAAAAAGCGCCCCCCGTAAGCCGTATAGCGGGGGAGAGAGCGAGAGAGAGAGACCCATTTCTTGAGGTCCGGATTCCGCACGTGTCGCGGCACCGCGCCGTGGCGCACCCGACCGCGCGGCACATGAATCATGATCTCTAATTCTCTATCTGAGATTTCTCTCTCGGAGAACTCCCTCTACATCTCTCTCTCCACTCTTGACTCGGATCCCACTCCTCACGCACGTCGACAACGCCTAGAAGCCTCTCGCAAGACAGACACAGAGCGACCCGCTCCAGAGGGGGCTCAAACGAGCACCAAGAGGCCCGCGTAAGGCGGGCCGAGTCCGTGCCCGGCTATCCTCTGATTGGCCGCCGCACACCGCCTGGACCTGCTCCAAAGCGCCCGTCCAAGTAGCCGGCTACTCCCTGCCTCCCTCCCGCCGTTGGGACACTGGCGACAGCCTCAATCACAAGCGCGTCGAAAACGACTGGCGGCTTCGTGGCGTCGCCGTGACCGGCAGCGAGCCGCCTCGCGGTGTCGCCGCCTCCGCCTTCCGACTCGCCTGCGTCGCTCACGATGCGAGGTGAGTGCAGCGAGGAGGGAGGCGGGCTCCCCCCTCCGGGGACATGTGCGGCGCACCTCATACATCTGAGCCTGCTTGAGTGCCGCCTCCTCCTCCTCCGCCGCCTTTCTGGCCGCCGCCGCTGCCTCCGCCGCCGCCTCCGCCGCCGCCAACTCCTGTGCGGGTGAGCCGCTCGTGTCGTGAGACCGTCGCTTCTGCAGCGGGACGGCCGCCTTCCGAGCTGGCTCGGACACCTCGGCGTCTTCTTTCCGCGCCTCGAGCCAGTACTTTGGCGGTGGCGCCTGCACGGGCTTCGGAAGGAGCCCCGCCTCCATGATGCCCACCGGCCCGGAGCTGCCTCCTGGGGCCGACCCCCATGGTAAGAAGCGGGCCAAGCCGCCGCCGCTGCCGCCGCTCGTCGTGCGCATTCCGCCGCCCTCGTCGTTGAGCACCATGTGCTGGCCGCCTCGTGAGAGCCTCGCAGGCGCGCCTCGCAGCCGCACGGCGAGCGCCAGCAGCAGCGCAATCGCGAGGCAGGCGCCGAGAAAGTACTTGTGCTCCTCGGCCAGCTGTGCCGCGCCCTGCACGGTGTCGTGCGTCAGCGGCAGCATGGTGCTCGACGAGCCGGGCGTCAGCGGCAGCAATGATGGCCCACCCTCCATCGGCTGGGCCAGTCGCAAGGCGACCGGGGCTGCATGAGGCGAGGCTCCATTGCACTCCCTGCCGAACAAGACCCCCTGCCAGAAGGACGGCCAGGCGAGAGGCTTGAGCAGCTTGTCGGTGAAGTCCCGCCACAGCGGGACGCAATCTGGCAGCGCGTCCGCCATTGACCTGCCAGAGACGCCTTCCGGGACGTCCGCTATAGCCGATCATCGACGATAGAAGAAAAGTCGGGCGTGAGGTGTGACGTGTGAGGCGTGCAGTGTGGTGTTCATTAGCTCCGAGTAGAGGGGGCGTCCTGCAGTTAAGGGGAAACCCGGTACGCGGGGCCAACCCTCGGAGACCCGTGTTTACTTTAAGGCCCTTGCCCTGCGAACGCGCACCCCCGGGGCTAGGGCTCTCTAGCCCGTAACCCGATGCCAATCATCCGGCCCGCTGGGTGCGCTTCTGAGCTCCCCGGCCCTGGATGTGCGGTTAATGACTGCACTCCAAGTGCTCCAAGTGCATTTGCGGTGATTCGCTCTCTCAACAAAGAAGAAAGCAGTGCTGCTGGGTGACACGGGTCGCGCCGCTGTGCAGCGAGAGCCAGGCTCGCCCGGCGAAAGTGACCAGAGAGTGCAACAAATACCAGAAAAAATCAGGGAGCCTCAGAGAGTGCCACTGCCACCACCCAGGCCGCGGGAGCCGATCGGCTGCGCCGAGGACAGCTCTCTCAGTGTGCTCCGCGGCTCACCAGTGTGCGCCGCGGCGCCGTCCAGCCACTTTGGCGGCCAGCCACCGGTCGAGTTCTTCGACTCTGGAGGACAGAAAGGTACCGTCTGAAAGGTATTTTTATGCTCTATTGACTGGCGAAAATCTCCCCCGCGATTTTTCACAGCGGGCGTGATTCACAGCCTTGTTATTCAAAGAAGAAAATATATACGTCCTATGGCGCTGTGCGCTGGTCTATGAGAGGTTGAGGTGCGAGCCCTGGAGGCCCTGGGGATGGGGGGAGACTACCCGCGGGCCTAGAAGGCCCGCGCGCAGGGGGGTGGGACATTGAGACCGGTCATGATTCACAGACCTTGTTATTGACAAGAAAATAACGTCCCATGGCGCTTTTGCGCTGGTCTATGAGAGGTTGAGGTGCGAGCCCTGGAGGCCCTGGGGATGGGGGGAGACTACCCGCGGGCCTAGAAGGCCCGCGCGCAGGGGGGTGGGACATTGAGATTGAACATTCTGTTCAGCGTGTGGACCACTTGCGGCGCGTAGCTCGGGCGTACAAGTACTCACCGGTCTCAGCGGCATTGCCAGGCCCACCTAGCACCTTATACCGCAGCGCAGCGCGAGCCTGCATGTGCTCACGCAACCCCACCTTGGAAGGCAACTCGCCGCGAGGCCAGCCCTCCTCCAGAAGGACCTGCTTGCGGCGCGCTGCCGACGAGGGGTTGAGGAGGTCGTAGTCGCCAAGGTCTTCTGCCTCCCAGCGCAGGGCGGAAGGCCCGGGCCTCCAAAAACGTCTAGCGCCTGGTGGTCGTCGTGCGAGTACCGATAGTGGGGCGGGAAGTGCGCGTCGAACCGCGCAGCAGCCTGTGGAACTCGATTGTTTTATTCCTTCTTTGCTGCTCTCCTGGATCTTTTGGAGGTCGGTGCGGCGGAGGTGGAGGTGGCGGAGGCTCGGCGAGCACGGCTGGGAGCGGTGGAGGGTTCAGGATCCGGGGGCAAGCGCGGATCTTAGAAGAGGGGGGGCTTTGGTTGGTCACGATCGGGACGGATGACACGTCTGATGCAGACATGCGGTCACCCTCGATTCCTGTTTGTTGAATGTTGAAGCCCTCTTCGATGCAGTCGCAGGAGTGATAACCCATCGAGGGTGGGAGCCGCCTGCAGCATACTGAATCCTCCACCAGTGGCGCAAGCCCGCTCGTCCCGACGCTCGAGCGACTCGTCCACCTTCTCAGCCACACCCTGCACAGCAGCATCCTCCTCCTCCTCACTATAGTTGTCCCACCCGTCGTCGGAGTCGTCGCCACGGCGCTCGAAGCGGCAGCAGAGCTTCTCTTCCTCTGCTTCCTCTGCTAGCAGCTGCGCCAGCACTGCCTCCCACTCAGGGTCGGCAGCAGAGCCAGCATCGCTTTGAGCAGAGCAGCGCATTGCCACGTCCTCGTCGCAGAGCTCCACCGGCACCGCGGCGAGAGACGTGGTGACGGTGGCGACCGACGTGCCAGTGGCGCGGCTGGCATCGCCAGCAGCGAGGCCGCCAATGGGGCGCAGCAGCGTACCGTTCGGCCATCGACATCGGACCTGTTCACAGACCTTGTTATTGACAAGAAAATACGTCCTATGGCGCTTTGCGCTATGAGAGGTTGAGGTGCGAGCCCTGGAGGCCCTGGGGATGGGGGGAGACTACCCGCGGGCCTAGAAGGCCCCGCGCGCAGGGGGGTGGGACTTCACAGCCTTGTTATTGAGAAGAAAGTACCTCCTATGGCGCTGTTCACAGCCTTGTTATTGAGAAGAAAATACGTCCTAGACGCTGTGCGCTGGTCTGTGAGAGGTTGAGGTGTTCACACCGAAGCACGAGTGTTGCAAGAGGGCCAGGCCGCTATACAACGAAATGGACGCAGCCTCAGGCCTGCTGCTGGCGGAGGCTCGCCGCGCCGCCGCGGCGGCGGAAAACGAGGGAGTGCTCACGAAGCGCATCTGCGACCAGCGCACGCTGCAGCACTGGAAGCTGTCGGCTTCGCACGCCGCCCTTATGCAGTTTGCGAACGACCTAGCCGAGGCCGTTGTCGGCCGCGCGGTGTCGGACACATGCGAGGAGCGGCCGGTGATCGGCGCGCTCCTGGCCGAGTTCGACGCGATGGCAGCGTGGATCGACGAGATCCCGCCAATCCAGCAGGCGATGCGCTATGGGAACAAAGCCTTCAAGGCGTGGCACGCGCGGATGGCGGAGCGCGCGCCGGCCCTGATGGCGGAGCTGCTGGAGCAGCGCGCGGCGCCGGAGAGCGGCGCGCCAGCAGCGCCGGCCGACGCGGCCGCGGAGCTCGCCGCCTACTTCGCCGAGGCGTTTGGGTCGCCGACCAGGTCGCCGCCCTCGCACGCGGCCCACACAGGACTGCGGCACCCCTCCTGCGGCACACGCCTCCCTACACGCGCGCCTCTGCGGAGCAGGATCGACTACGGGACGGGGCACGAGCTGCAGCTCCTCGCCTGGCTCCGCGGCCTCGAGCTGATGCAGGTGCCGCACCCTCGCCGTACCCGCGCCCTCCCCGCCCTCGCCACCGCCCTCGCTCAGCCTCCCCGCCCTCGCCACCGCCGCCGCTCGCCGCCGCCGCCGCCGCCGCCGCCGCTTCCGCTTCCGCCGCCGCTTCCGCCGCCCACCTCTGCAGCCGCGCCGCCGGCAGGTGCTCGATCCGGCAGACAGGCCCGCCGTGGTGCTGCGTGTCTTTGAGCGGTACCTGGCGCTGATGCGGCGGCTCCAGACCACGTACTGCCTCGAGCCGGCCGGCTCGCACGGCGTGTGGGGGCTCGACGACTACCAGCACCTCGTGTTTGTCTTTGGCGCGGCGCAGCTGGTCGGGCACGCGCGGATCCAGCCGTCGTCTATCCACGACGAGGAGCTGCTCGCCGAGGCGGGGGCGGACTACCTCTACCTCGCCGCCGTCGCCTTCATCCGCAAGGTCAAGAAGGGGCCCTTTGGGGAGCACTCGCCCTACCTGAACGACATCTCCGCCATCGACTCGTGGGACAAGGTGGTCAAGGGGCTGCTGCGCATGTACGAGGGCGAGGTGCTCGGCAAGCTGCCGGTCGTGCAGCACCTCCGCTTCGGCGCGCTCCTGCCATGGGCGACCCCGTACAACGACTGAGACGCCGGCGTCGGAGCTCGTCATATCTCACGCTCGGGAGACCCTCCGTGCCCCGCCTCGCCCTCCTCCGCGGGCGCGGCCTCAGGTCACCTGTGGTTGCTAACGCTCTCCCGGAGTTGCTCGTTTCGTTTTGTAACCGTTTTCTAATTGTACCAGTTTAAAGGAAAGGTTGGGGAAAACATGAAGATCATTCAAAAGGTTGGGGAAAACATGAAGATCATTCAAAAGGTTAGGCGCTGAGCCTGCGGGTGGATTGGCGTGTTGGGCTGGCGCTGGACCGCGATCAGAGCTGATACCATGTGACGGCGGAGTTGACGCCTCCGACGGTCGTAGCGGCGTGGCTGAGGGCGGCGGTGGAGGCGCCCGATAGCGCGGCGAGGATGGTCTCATGGGTCTAGCAAACCATAGACGACACCAAGAGAACGCGAGGTAAAACCCGACGGCTATGGATGGTAAAAGGCGGCGGTAAAACCCATCCATACGGGTTTCGGTGGGTTGGATGGGAGGTAGAATGTCTACCTACCGCAGGGAACATGAAGATCTTTGAATTTTTGAATGATTCAAAAATGCCGCCCACCCCCCAGATACCAGCGTGTCCCTCTCTCGCCACGGCCGTTGCCTGGAGCAAAGACACACGCAACGCCAGGCCCACATCGCAATTCGCACGCGCACGGACACATCGCGACAACTAATCGGCGTGTCCGGCGCTACAGCCTACCAGAGCGGCCCCCGCGCGCGCGCGGGCGCGCAGGGCAGTCCTCTCCACACTATGGGCTCCTACCCTGCATACGGTAGGGCCATGAGCGGCCCCGCCGCTGCCAGGCCCGCGGCCGCCGCCTTCTTGGCCTTCTGCTGCTGGCGCGAGCGGAAATTGGTGATCTCGCGCCGCGTCGTGTGGTAATCATTGCTGCACAGCATCCGCCAGAACGGGGTCGCCGGGACCGCCTTGTGGTTCTCGAGCATACCCGCCAGCATTGGGTCGCCCTTGATGCGGCTCGACTTGAGCGTGTTCTTGGCGTACTTCGGGCAGCACTGCTCGTCCTGCGGATTCCAGTCGCCTCGCTCCCGCCGCTCCCGCTGCCGCTCTGCATTCTTCCTCTGCTTCTCGGCCTCCGCTGCCGAGGTCCCCGAGCCGGGGACAGCCGCGGGGAGTTCGCCGGTGTCCTCGACCCAGCAGGCCAAGTTTGGGTTCCACACCTTTGGCCGCCCGCTCTCGTCGTTCGGCGCGCGGCCCCTCGGTCGCCGAACGGGCGGGCCGGCGGAAACCGCCGCCGCAGCGACCGCCGCGGCGACCGCTGCGACGGGGCCCGCGGCCGCCTGCACCACGGGCGCGGCCTCGGTAGCCGGCGCTACGGCCATCTGCACCACGGGTGCGGCCTCGATAACCGGCGCTGCTGTGGGGGGCGGGCCTCCCATTTGAACGTGCATTAGGGGCTGCACGGCCGCTTCCGGCTCCTCGGGTGGCGGCGACTTGCGCTTCATCGGAAGCGTGGGGATTCCGGCGTCGACGGGCGCGGAGGCGGTGGCAGCACCCGCGGAGGGATTCGCGAACCAGAGCACGTCGCCAGCCGCCTGGCCCTGGACAGCCGCCTCGCCCGCTTCCTCGCCCATAGGGGCGCCAGCGGAACGCTCCCAGAAAAGTCCTTGCGTCCGGCGGCAGTTTACTTTTTCCAATCCTCGCAAATCTGTAACAAAATCCTTCCGCGAGGAGACCGCAGCAGGGGCGTCTCAACATCTCCTTCATGACCGGTCTCAATGTCCCACCCCCCTGCGCGCGGGCCTAGGCCCGCGGGTAGTCTCCCCCCATCCCCAGGGCCTCCAGGGCTCGCACCTACCTCAACTCTCACAGACCAGCGCACAGCGCCCTGAGGTATTTTCTTCTCAGTGACAAGGCTGTGAAGCGTCACACCAATCCTCGCTACCCAACGCGGCCAAAGGATATCCTCATATCCAATTATTCGAGAACCTCGAGACGGACAGAGGCGTCGAGGGCCCCGCCCGCTCTTTCCCTCACATAGCGGCCACTCTTCGGATCGCTGGTCGAGCGAGCGACCCGGGGGATGCCCCGCGCGCCTGACCCAGGCGCGAAAACGAATCTGCGAGGCGTGGCCGCTCACATGCGGCCCGATGCGCGATGGGGAGGAGCGGGGCGGACTAGGGGATCGGCTTCTTACACAGCCCTTCCTTGCAGCGAGCCCCCCTCCAACCCACCCGCGCTAGGTCTCGGGGGACGCAGGGGTCAGCCCCGCGCGACCTCGGGAACTTGGAGCACTTGGAGTGCAGTTATCAACCTCACATCCAGGGCCGGGGAGCTCAGAAGCGCACCCAGCGGGCCGGATGATCGGCATCGGGTTACGGGCTAGAGAGCCCTAGCCCCGGGGGTGCGCGGTCGCAGGGCCATAACACGGGTCTCCGAGGGATAGCTCCGCGCTCCGGGTTTCCCCTAGCAGCAGAACGCACCCTCTACTCAGAGCTAGTAATACGAGAATACTCTCCGAGGGTTAGCCCCGCGTGCGGGAACTAGCCGGGGCAGTCGGAGAAGGGGCAACTCCGTGCACTGACGGCCGTCAGAAAACACGCCTCCGTGGCTCGGGTTACACCAATCCTCGCTACCCAACGCGGCCAAAGGATCTCCACCTAGGTAGGTAGGTAGGTAGAAAGGTGAAGAACAGCCAGGCTCGGACTGGACACCAACGCGGTATGGGTGGACGCTAGACAGATGATGACGACACGCACGAGCGACACACAGACACAAACAAGCTCACAAGACACACAGCCAGCTGGCTGCCACACACCCTGAGTTGGCGTACACATAACTCAAGGCCACATCCTCCCTGTCGCCCCCCCCAGCACTCCAAGGTGCCAAGAGAAACAAACAAGGGCACAACAAACAACAGACGACAGGAAGTGACATGTGAGGCTAGAGCAGCATGCTCCACCTCGAGAACCTCGAGAGAAGGTGTGAAGAAGTGATCTCGCCCGATTCGTCGACGTTGCCTTGTTCGAGGATTGGCGTTGGCGCCAGCGAGCGCGATGCCGCCCACCTGGCTGAGACTGGACTCCGTGCAGCAGACCATCTCGCACGACGTCGCGCTCTGCGAGGTGGCGCTTGCTGACGACACGCGCGCCGAGTCAATAGACCTGCGGGTGGATGACGACCGACTGTGTCTCCGCTGCCGGGACGACTCGGCAGCGCCGGTGGCCATCTGCTGGTCCGTGCCTGTGGTTGGGAGCAAGGCTGCCGCGCGGCTCCTGCGCTCCAAGCGCGTGCTGGCTGTCCGCGCGCCGCTGGAGCGCCCCACAGTCGAACGGACAGAGCTGATAGACGAGGGTGGCGAGGTCCCAGATGACTGCCGCCGCTTCGTGCGTGCGACGGTGCGCGCTGTCGGGCGGGGCACGCTCGTGCTGAGAATCCCCGCCTTGGTCGCCGGCTGCGAGATCGGGCAGCGGGCGTACGTGCTCGCGTCGCGGCGGAACCACTTTGCGTCACTCGCGGCGCGAAACTACGACTGGTGCGACACCTTTTCTCGCGAGGCTTCGTGCGACGGCGCGTCGACCATCGAGGTGACCCTCTCCTGCTCGGCGTGGGTGTGGGAGCCGTCGGAGGTCCACGTCACCATCGGGTCGCTCGGCGCCGGCGAGATGCCGCCGTCCATCGAGTCTGGGCACACTGCACTCGGTGCCGCGCCGTCCCCGCCAAAGCCCACCGCCTCCACCGCCTCCATCCCCGTCACCCACTCCTCTCCGCCACACCACCTCCCCGCCAGCTGCCCCCGCCCCAGCTCGCCCCCCGGTCCTGCGCTCCTCTGGCCAAGCGCCCCTCGGGAGTCGCTCACCTGTCAAACCGCACGGGATAGGCTGCACCTTTCGCATGCTCCGCGGCAACGAACCGCCGCCGCCCCCGCCCGGCGCCGCCGCCGCGGCGCCGCCCGAGCAGACGCCGATCATCGTGCGGGCGCCGCGCGACTTGGAGAAGGGGGAGAGCCTCACCTTTGAGCACGCTGGCCGCCGGCGCCCAAGCCCAGATGCAACAGAGACTAGCAGCGCGAGGGAGCCTTCCCGATGCTCTCACCGCTGCGCCACTCGCTCGAGCATGCGAGATTAATGAATTAATGAATTCATGCCACTCGCTCGAGCATGCACGGTTCGCGGTGTGCACACGGGCGCCGAGTCCAGTGCACGATCCTTTGGTCGCACCCGTCTCCTAGGTTTTTCTTCTCTACCTCTAGGTACACTACGCGGCTGCCGACGCCGGCAAAGGCAGGGCAGGCGATCCGCACTTCGGTGCCCGCGCCGCCCAGGCCGCCGCAGCCGCCGCCGCCGCCGCCCGAGCCGCTGCCGGCGTCACGGTGCGCAGCGTTTCCCCGCTCTCGCTCCGCGGACGGTTTCGCGCGCCCGCCCGACCGCTTGTGGCCCCTTGACCGCCCCTCCGCCGCCTTGCCGCCCGCAGGCCGGTGACTTGCCGCCTCGTCGCCGAGCGGACTGAGCTCGAGAGTGCGCCGCTCCGCCGTGCATGCAAGCGGTACGACGCCGCCTTCTGCGGCGTCGACGGCGCGGCCCTCTCGCAGCAGTACGTCAAAGGTCGGCCGCCGCCGCCGCGATGGACATCGTTGATGGATGCCGGCGCGCCGCGCCCCGTCTGACAAGCCGGCCGGCTCTGCTGTGAACGGCGCGCTTTCACGCGCGTGGCTGTGAATAGGCACACCGCCCGTCGAGGACCACAACTTTGTCTCGCTCACGTACGGCGAGGCGGAGTTCGTGCCGCTCCGAAAGCTGCTGCGCGCCGTCGGAGGTGTGCGAGACGGCGCGACGTTCGTCGATCTGGGCTCGGGGTGCGCCGCCGGCGCTTCGCTCCGCCCCGCCCCTCCCGCCACCCTCTCCACGCCTGCCCGGTGCTGGCCGCGCGCAGGTGCGGCCGCGTTGTGCTCGGCGCTGCGCTCGCCTTCCCTGCCGCAAAGCTCGTCGTCGGCGTCGAGCTCGTGCCTCAGCTGCACGACGCCGCCCTCTCCGCGCACGCGCTGCTGCTCGACTTCCTCTCGGGCCCCGCCGACGGCTGCTTCGGCCTGCAGTCCTGCGACCTCAACGACGCGGCGGCGCCGGCTCATGGCGGCTGCGCCGGTGCTAGCACCGCCAGCGGTGGCAGCACCGGCGCCGGCGGAAACGGCAGCGCCACTGGCAGCACCGCGGGCGGGAGCAACAGCAGTAGCGGCGGCGGCGTCAGCACCGGCCGTGCTGAGGGGGCCGACGGCCTTGCTGGTGGCGGCAGCAGTTGCTCCGGGAACGGCGTCGCGGGGGCTTCTCCCGCGCTTGGCGGGGGCAGCGGTGCCGTTCGCGCGCCGCCGCCAGGCAGCATCGCTCCGGTCAGTTCCCTCCCTGCGCGGCGTCACAACTCTTGCGGCTACCGATCGGGGACTCTTCGCGGACTCTTCGCGTAGGTGAGGCTGTTGTGCGGCGACTTTTTGCAGACTGTGGGTGAGCGGCCGGCGGTCGGTCTGCCGCGCCATGCATTTCTCGCGCCTCACCCCCCTGCGTTGCGTGCTTCGGCGCAGGCGAGTGGTCGTCGGCAGATGTGCTGCTCGCCACTTCCCTCTGCTTCCCGCCGGAGCTCGTCTCAGAGCTGGAGCAGGTGTAGCACAACCCCCCCCCCCCCCCCTCGCACGCACGCACGCACGCACGCACGCACGCGCACACGCACGCACACACACACACACACACACACACACACACACACACACACACACACACACACACACACACACACACACACACACACACACACTGGCCCAGACTCTCGACCCGCGCTCCGCGTAGGCCGCGACCGCGCTCCGGCAGGGCGCGCGAGTAATCTGCATGCAGCCCTGCTTTGGTTCGGGCGCCTTCCGTCCGTGCTCCGTGGTGGCGCCGCTGCCGCCGCCGGAGCCGCCCCACAAGGTCGTGATGGAGATGTCGTTCGGCAGCGCTCTCTCACCGCACCAGCCGCCGCCCCCGCGCACTCTCGTAACAGAGGTCTCACCTGCGAGTAGGAGACGCGTCCTTCTACTTGTTTGAGCGACTGCCGGGATGACAGCTGTGACGAGTCCGTGACCGCCGAGCTGCGTCCCGTTCGGGGAGGTATCTGCTCTCAGGGCAGCGGGTAGAGAAAGGGGGGCTTGGGCGTGCGGCATGAGCACAGCTTCGGTGAGCAAGTGCGGATGCCGATGTGTATGCGAGAGCGGGGGATGACATATGCAGATAGTGATAGATGGTTTGCCATTGACCACTTGTTTAGATACAGGTTGTCTCTGCGCAGAGTCTGGACACGAACCGACAAACGTGAAACGAACCAGAATTCCCTTTTTCATCAATATGGTACGGTGGTGATGCCTTACGCTTCCGCAGGTACAATGTCAAGGCTCATGAGGCGCTCACCGTCGCGCGGCGGCGGCTCAAACGACCGTTCCCACCAGCCCTCTGGCAGCGCACGTAACGCGTCGTCGTCAAAGGCGTGCAGCGAGGTGTTGTTGAAGGCGTTTGCGAAGAGCGGTTCGCCGCTGCCGCCGCCGCGGCTCGTTGCTGCCGAACCGGCGGGCACGCCAATCGGCGACTCTGATGCGAGAGGCAGCGCACGGAAGAGGGGGCTCCAAGCGGCGGCGCGTTCGGCGCCAGGGTCTCCGCTCAGCGCGGCGAACGAGTTGCCGAGGACGAGCATCGAGGCGAGGGAGGCGGGCCGCCAGTTGTGCTGGACGAGGTTCGAGTAGAGCGCTCTCCCGCAGTGAGGCATGAAGAAGAGGACCGAGCCGCCACCGGGCGCCGGGGAGGAGTGGCGCCCCTCGCTGTTGCGCGTAAGCACCGCGCAGCCCCGGGAGCGGAGGAACGCAATCTCTAGCTCGTCGAAGCACGGGTCAAACGCGCAGAACGGCGTCTCCGCCTCGTCGCCGCCAGTGCAATGTTCCGCCCGTCCGTCCGCCTCCCCCAGGAGCTCCTCTCGCAGCAGAAGCGCCAGTGCCACCTGGTAGCGCGGCGCGGTGGCCGTGCCGAAGCTTCCCAGCCCGAGGCAGATGATGGCCTCGACAGGCGGTCGCTCACACGCTGGGTGTGCCAAGCCGCGAAGCACGGCACGCAGCCGTCGCGCCAGCGCGGAGGCACGGAGCTCGTCGACGGCCGCATCCACTCGCACTCCCAAGGACATGAGGCCAGCCACCCTGCCCGCGGCATCTCTCCTCAGCGGCTCAGACGGAGCCGCTGCCGCATGCATCGCCACGCGCTTGGGCGGAGCTGGCCGCCGGCGAGAGCCGCGGCCGGAGATAATGGTGAAACCCCCTTCCTCCATCACTTCCGCGTGACGCGTGCCTGACATTTTCGGCCTTGTGGCGCTCGCAAGTGCTGCAATACGCGCGGCGGAACAAATAATATTCTTTTTTGACCTTTCTACGTAGGTGTCCGAGGAGGCCACCGGCCAAAAGCGCATGTCTTGAAGGTCCGATACTGGAAGCCCATATAGGCACCTTACACTCCCCCGCAGTATCGCACCTCTTGATTATCGTGTAAATTCCTGTGTGGTGGCGGCGTGCCGTCCTCCCATCCGCATCCCTACCTTGGGTTGTCCGTTTTCTTTCTTTTCTACCTACTTTCCGACAGCCAGAGCGCACGGAACTCCCTGGCACAACTCCCGTGCGGCCCGGTGTTGCTGTTCGACAAGAAAATAATTCCCGAGGGTGTTGTGAGTAGTGTGTTAGTCGTGACGTTTTCTTCCCGTGTGTTTTCTTCCAACAAAAGTGAAGAAGAGTTCTTATAGTGAAAAGAAACCCAGAGTACATCATGCTCCCCTCCACCCCGCCGCTCGTTGCCCCGCTTAGAGCCCTCCTTGCCCACGTAGATGTTAAACTGTAAATCAACCTCAGAAGCAGCCGCACTTGTTGCCCAAGTGGCAGCAGCCCGGCTTTTCGCCCGCCTCGAACCCGACGACTGACAGCTTCACCGTGACGCCCTCAGCAAACTTTAATTCTATCAACCCCTTGGTGGTGCTCGCAGTGATCATCTCGTAGAAGTTGATCTTGACCGATTTCGTGCCTGCCAATTTTGAGCCCGCGCCCGCCCACATGCCCTTCCACGTCTTGACCTTGACCGTTGCCTCGACCTGATAGGTGGGGTCAAAGACAAACTCCCGTGTCGACCCGAAGAGCTGCTCGGCCGGGACCCTTCCCGTGCACTGGTCCATCAAGACCGCCGCTGTCTCCACCTTTTGCCCGCCAAAGTCCACCCTCACGTAGACCTTGAGCGCGTCCGCGCTGCTGGTCTGCCCCAAAAAGGTTCCCACCTGGGTGGGCGACATCTTTTTCTTGTCGTACGGGTTCTTCTTCGCGGCGACTTTGTCGAACGGGTCCGTAATCAGCAGCTCCTCGACCCTCAGGGTGACGTCGGGCTCGTCCGCAACGTGCATGATCACAGAGAAGTGGGCGGCGGCCTGCTCATTGATCGTGCGGTGGCCGGCGCCCTTGACCTCGATGATGTTGACCTGACACCCGTCCTTCGCCCACTTCTCGGGTGAGCGATTGCTCCAGTACGGGACAGTGCCGTCGCCCGACCGAAACAGCTCACCAAACTTCTTGCCCTCCGTATCGCTCGCCTGGGGGCACTCGCCGGGCACCTCTCGCACTGTCCCCTTGACAATCTTGTACCCCGGTGTGTGCATCTCCGCCTCGTGGTCCTCCTCGAAGTAGTTGAGGCGCTGGCCCGCCTCCCAAACCGCGTCCTTCCTCGTCATCACGAGACCGATGTCGGTGTCCACCTCGCAGCCGTAGATGGGCAGCACGAGCTTGAGGGCTGGCGCCAGCCCATCGGCCGTCTTTCTGAAGATCAGGTCCTTTGCGCACAGGTCCGTCAGCTGCGCGTGGAGGGCGGGCAGCTCCTCCAAGGCGAGCATGTCGCCAAAGGAGCGGGCGTCGTACTCGTGCTTGCCGCTCGGCACCCACTCTGTGATCCCCGCCTCCTTCAGAAGCTGCTGCTTCTCCTCCGACGTGCCCTCGTCGCCTGAGCCGCCCAAGCCCGTGCACCAGCTGCTGTGCGTCGCAAAGCTGTACGAGGCGCTCATCTCGTAAAACTTGGGGACTGGCGCATTCGAGGGGATCCACTTGACGCGCATCTTGAGCTTGACCGAGTCGCCCACCGCCACGCCGTCGAGCAACGACCACGAGCCGGGGGCTGAGTACAGCTTAACCGAGTCGTCGAGGGCGCCCACGCTGATCGCCGTGACGCCGCCTTCCGGCGTGTTGGAGAAGGCGAGGTGCGTCTCGGCAAAGACGTGGTCCCTGAGCCCGGTGAGGCCCCGCTTCTGGAGGAACTTGATGTGCAGCGTCCGGTTCTCGGCATCGTCCGGTCCCTCCTCCCAGGAGAACTGAAATATGTTGCCGAAGGTCGGAGTCGGGCCCTTTTTCGTGGAGGACTTGAGTACGACCGACTTTCCGGCCACCTCCAACTTGACATAGGTGTCGCCTGTGACGCTCTCGTCGTACGTGGCGCTGAGCAGCTCGATGTGGAAGGCGCCTTGCTTGCGCGTGAAGAAGTAGTGTGAGCCTGCGGTGTACATGAGATTCTTACCCGACCCCCACAGCGAGCAGATGGAGGCCATCGAGCGAATCATCGCCAGGCCGTCGGCGGCGTTCAGCACCGCCGGACACAAGCCCATGACGGTGCCGGGGAAGATGTGCTGGATCGAGCCGCTCGCCGCCCCTAGATTCGGCGACGCGATGGGCACAAACGAGTGAATATACTCGTCGAGCCACTGCTTGCCGCCCTTGCTCTTGCCGAACGATGAGTCGGTCATCCAGTGAAAAAAGTACAGCGCGATGCGCCCGCCCATCGAGTGGCTCATCACGACGCACTTCTGGCCGTTGCTCTTTACCATACTCTCGATGCCGTCCACCATCCGCGAAAAGTACTTGTCGCGCGCTTCCAGCTTGGAGAGTGCCGCGCGCCAGTCGTACGGGAATGCGCGGATGTTCTTGCCCGGCTCGTACCCAAACTCGACCAACGGCGCCAGGATCGGCCCCATCAGGGCCGACACGTCCTTGATGATCGGCAAGTCCGACATGGCCATGATAGTGTCCAGGCTGTTTGGCTCCTCGACAGGCCGCACCTTGATACCGCTCGGGTCTTTCCAGCCGTCAACCATCTCCATGTGCTGCGCGTACACGGCCTGCGCATAGACAGTGTACTCGCTGATTCCGCCTTGGTCAAACTGCTCCTCCGTCGCCGCCTGGATGAGTTGTCCTTTCACCGGCTCGAGCAAGCTGAGCATGGCATCATCGGTCGCCCCGCTCGACTCGATCTGCTTTAGGCAGCTCTGCACGTCCGCGTCCTTCTTTAGGCTGTCGTGTGCCTCGATGAAGCCTCGCAGCTCGTCTTGCGTCAAGACGTTGTCCTCCGTCTGGTCGAGGATGTCCTTCATCTTGCTCTTCCACGCGGAGCCGGTGTACATGCTGAACTGGTTCGTGAGAAATCCCTCGGTCACCATAGGCAGGTCCAGCACCACCTTCCCTCCCACCCACTTGGGCCGGAGGGTGGACTCCAGCACCTCTAGCTGGCAGCCGCCCATCGAGTTGATGCATGCGATAGGCATCTTTGGCCTGAATCCCATCTGCTTGAGGCACTTTGCCGGGTTCGTCTTGTCGGCCAGCCAGTCGGGAAGGTAAGACTCCGAGCTCTTGGAGAAGATGTTGACTCGGTCGAGCATGGTGTTGCCGATCTGGGACATGCTCATGATCTCGGGCAGAAAGCCGATTTGCTGGTTTGGGTCTTGTCCGCTGCCGAGCATATTCGTCTCCTTTTTGTCTGTTGACATCATGAGGGTCAGCTTGTTCGTCGACTCGCCAACTTCCGACGAGGGTGCGAAGAGGTTTGCCTGCCCCTCAACTCCCAACTCCTCTTCGTCGCTGCTGTCCACCGTCGTCGCGGCAGCCGCCGCAACCACCCCGCGACTCAGCGACCGCCCCGCTGTCTTAGCCTGAGCTTCAACATATTTTCTGGGCTTGTAGCTGTTCCGATCCCATAATTTTTTCAAGTGAGCTTGAGTTGGATATGGTTTGTCTGGCCCCTTCGTTGCCATGTGCGAAGGGGCGGCTCCCGCCGTTAGACCCCGAGATGCAGAGTTTGGCTTCGGCCGACGGACGACAGGCTAATTTTTCAGGAAGTGTGGAACGAAACGAAAAAAAGAACATATCGAGGCTCTCGCAACACTAGGCGCGGGACTGGCGCGCACTGGCACTACCACAGGTACACCGAAAAAAGAAGCGCAGCTCATAACCGCATGGTACACGCTATAGAGTACGCTAAAGATGATCACGGGCCCTCACGCGGAGGGGGAGCCCCGGGTACTCTTTAGCTGTATTCGTCTAGGCAGGGGTTTGAGCACAACCTCGAACGAAGGGCCGACTTCACGAGACGACTATGATTATGTATATCGCACACCGACTCACTACGTGATCATCGCGCGCTACATATCGAAGAGGGCCGCCCGGAACGCTTTGTTGTCGGCGAGCTGCTTGCCAATCTGCACCCGCTTCCGCAGTAGCAGAGACGGCTCCGGTGGGTTTGGTATCCGAGCAATGACTTGCGCAATGAGTGTAGAGAACGCGTCGGCAACCTTCAGATTTTCGGTTGCGGTGGTCTCGAAGTACGGGCAGCCGATCTGCTGCGCAATCAGGTTCGCCTCTGCCGAAGACACCTCTTCCGTCTTGTCAGACTTGTTGCCGATGAGCACTTTTGGCAGATCGGGGCTGGATGAGTCTGCCGCCTGTGGCAAGATGGCATCCTGAGCGGTGCTAAGCGTTCCCTCGTCCGCGCGATACTAACGGGGTCGATCTATGCAGCTCGACGAGTGGGGTACTGCACCTTGAGCCAGAGGGAGACTCGGTCAAAGGTCGCTCGGCGTGAGCGATCAAAGACAAGCACCAGCCCCGCGGCCATCGCGACGTACCGCGGCGCCATCTCCATGTATCGTGGCGCGCCCGGCACTTCCCACATCAGTATCTGGTATCGGGCCCCGCGTGACTCGTATGTGTGCGCCCTGGTCCGAATGCCGTGGTCAGCGAGGCTGTCACCCGAATCCAGCTCGCGCGGCGGGTCAGGGAGCGTGCATGCGACCAGCTGACTCTTGCCCACGCCCGTCTCGCCGAGCACGCAGAGGGAAAAAGAGAAGTGGAAGGAGTCCGACCCAATGCCGGGCATACGGCTCAATCGGGCGGGCGCGAGCCGTAACGACCAATCTTCGTGCCACAAAAAAAGCCGCTCGTGGGGCTCGCTGGGTGCGCTTCTTAGCTCCCTGGCCCTGGATGTGATGAGGTTGCCGACTGCACTCCAAGTGCTCCAAGTGTCCAACCCTGTGCCAAGCCCTCTCCGCGCCGAAATGGCCGATGCGCCCCCTGCCCCTCCCCCTCGCCTGCAAACCCCTGCAAAGGTGGCGCGACGTGGCTGTCCGCCTCCACACTAGCTTGGGATCTCAGGATTCACATCGGTGTTTCCAGCGCCTGCTGTTGACAAGTGGGGAGCACAGACGGCTTCGACGAAGCTGCCCCCAGCAGGCGTCTTGACGGGTGTCCGAAAAAGGGAAAAACACTCTTCCCTACAAAGAGGCCAACGCGCAAACGGACCCGAGAATTATTCTTTGTTTAACCGCGCTCCAACACTCGCGCAACAAATTTGCTCATCAGTGGGTCGAGCGCCGTGCCCTCGCCTGCGAGATGGCGGCGGCAAGCCTCCTCGATGGGCGTGAGGTCCAAATCCGCAGCTGTGGCCAGGCGTCTTGAGGCGATCAGCTCTAGCAGCGCCCGGCCCCGCCGCCCGCCGCCCGCGCAGCGCTCCAGGAAGCGCACATTCGCTCGCAAGTATGGCCGCCGGAAGGCGCGACAAGAGGAGCAGACGAAACGCGGGTCGATGGCGTGCATCTGTCTGGTGCAGAGCGCCCGCGTCCGCAGCGGCGCACGCAAATCAACAAAGCCGGCGAGCACGAATCGCGTGCCCCCCGTGACGGCCGCAGCCGCATGGCGCTGCGCGCCCACGAAGGTGAGACAGCACCCCGCGGGGACGCAGATGGGTGGGGCGTCTCGGAGGCACGTCCCGCCACCCTCAAAGGAGGCTGTGCTGTTGAGCGCAACCACGAAGGAGAACCAGTTCGAGTCTCGGTGGGAAGGGAGCGCCCGCTGGTGCCCAGCCAGCGCCGAGTAGCGCACGAGGAAAATCTCGCGGAGCACCAGGTACTCCCGAGCCACGGCGTACAGGCTTGAGATGTCTTGCAGGATCGTCTCGATCGCACCTGTGCACGCGGGCCGGTGGCGGCGAGGCAGGCGGGTGGCGGCGAGGCAGGGTGCGAGTCAGGGGGCCGTGGGAAGAGGAGGGTGGGTGGGTGGAGGAGGCGCTCGGGCAGGGGAGGGTCCGGTCGCACCGGACGCGTCCAGAGCGGCCTCGAGTCTCTCGAGCCAGCCACCATTTGGACCGTCCTCCCCGCCGCAGGCCCGCCCTGCACAAGCCTCTCGCCCAGCGTCCAGGCCCTCCACGCCGTCCAGCTCGAGATCGGTCGTCGCAGCGAGCTCATGCCGGTCGGTGCGCCACGGCACGCCCGCCGCACTCGCCCGCTCCACCACCTCGCCGCACAGCTGCTCGGTCAGGAGGCCGTCGCGGATGCCGATCCGTTCGAAGCGCGCGGCGGCGCCCCCGCGCCGCGTGGGCACCCGTACCTCGAGGCCCCTGCGCCGCTCGAGGAGCGAGTAGTGGTCGTCGGGCCTCCTCGAGAGGGGGGCGAGGAGGAGCGCTCTCCTCGCGGCCAGCACCAGCCACCGCCAGAGTGGGAGGAGGCAGCACGCCCACGCCGAGGCGCGCTCACGCCCACGCCGAGGCGCGCCCACGCCCACGCCGAACGCGCACGCGACAGTCGCTGAGAGGAGAGAGGCCACTCGCTTGCGGAGTGGAGGCGCGGCGGCCACCAGGACGCCCGAGCGGGAGAGGTGGTACCGGCCCCGGAGCCGGTCGAGCAGCGTGCCTGGCTGCTCGAACCCAGCCCCTCGCCAGTCGCCCGCGGCCCAGCTGGCGCGGAACGACGCGTAGAAGAGGATGCGCCGCGCGCCGCGCTTGCCGACGTGTGCGCCGCCGCAGTGCAGCGTCCTCGCGTCGAAGAGCAGCGCGTCGCCACAGCGGAGCAGCGGGATGCCTGCTCACGCCTCTCGTGGTGAAGAGAGGCCCCATTCACACCGCGTCGCCGCAGCGCAGCAGCGGGGATGCGTGTCGACGAGCTCTCCAGCGCCGCTGCAATCTCGTCGTCGTCCGTCGGGTCGCGGCCCCACGAGGCGGACCGCTCCCTCTCCGTGTGCGTGCGAGGCAGGAAGTGGGTCGGCCCCATCGACAGGTCCACGTCCTGCAGCGCGAGCATGCACGTCGCCACAGAAATGCTCCGCGAGTAGGGTGTGTCCGGATGCACCGGCTGGCGTGGCGCTCCCGCATCCGCCACGAGGGCGCCGAGCTCAAAGAGCTGCGCGCCGCGACCCAGCGCCGCGACGAGCGCGGGCCCGAGCGCGTCCAGAAGCTGCCGCAGCGCCTCGGCGACGGGGTGCTCGGACAGGTCGAGCTTTAGGTCCCAACGGTTGCGGCGGCACATGATCTGGCCGAGGAGCGGCTCTCCATCGGGAGGAGTCGCGCCGCAGACGTCTGAGAGCCGCGAGTCGACGTGCTGGCGCAGGCGCGCGGCGGCAGATTGCAGCACCACAGCGTCGACAACAGCAAGGCCGTCCCTCACCAGCGCCGCCGCCGCATCCCGGGGCGACACTGAGGCGCCGCCCTCAAAGGCGTGGACGAGGAGCGATGCCTCGGCCTCGGCGACTGCAGCCTCGTTGCCGAAGTTCTGCCTGCGGTGGTCGAGGATGAGGGAAGGCGAGGACGTCATCAAGTCTGTCCGCCACGTGGACGGCTGGAGGAGCGTGTTGGCGAGACGTGAGTGTGGCGGAGGTCGTCATCGGGGGGGGGGGGGGGGGGTTCGGCCTGTGGCCGTAAGAATAACGCAGGTCCAAGTGCTCCAAGTGCTCCAAGTGCAGGCACTCAGCTGGGAAGAGGACCGCCGCAAGCGGCGTGGCGTGGAGCGGTTGTGCATCCCTCCGGGGGCCCCTCTGCGCCGGGGAGGCGTTGTTGGAGGCTAGGACGCAAGCGTCCGTCGCCCTTTTTCAAACAAACTCGGGGCCCACTCCCGCTACGCTCCGACCCGAATTTGGAGGGCCCCCTAAAAGTTTAAGGTGTTGCTGCGCAAAAGGGGTCGGACACAGGGCACTCAGGGGGGGTCATCACTACCAAGTTCCTAGAGTCAGCTGCCACGTTCAAAACCAGGACGGCGGCAGTGATGGTGCTATCACGGGCATGATCCGTGGATGGAAAGTGGAGCGGGTGGTACGGGATAGTAGAGCAGGCGCTTTGTGGGTGCTGGCGGGTATGGGCGGCGGCGTAGGGTGGCCGGCCAAATCGTTAGCTGAGCTCCTCCCTCAAGCTCGGTCACGCATGACGCACGTTGAGTGACAACGTCGGCGAGCTTCTGAATCAGGTTAGGTTGCCGGAGCACCTCCAACTCCTCCTCTGAGTCAGACACGCCAATGTCGACTGCACCCTCCTCCTCCCATTCGTCGACTGCGCCCTCCACCCCCATGGGCTCGATCCGATTCCGCAGCGTGTCGTCCCCAGCGGCGGTGCTGCGCGGGAGGCGGCCCCGCGGGCACGCTGGGCTCGATCAGCGGCTTCCCCTCAAGTGCGCCGAAAGCACGGATTTGGCGGACGATCTTGGCTTCAATTTTACGGATGTCTTGGCACCCTTGCGTCCCAGATCACATGGTTTCGCCACGGTATTCGGATTTTGCTATTTGCTCGTGTGGGGGTATATTGCAGATTTGTCAATGGTACCGCGTCTGCGACGCGGGCGCCTTGCGAGCAGAGCCCTTAACGAGCGTCATCTTGTAGTGAACAGGTCGACTTCGTGGTTTGAGCGCCCAGCGCAGACCGACCGACCGCAGGGGGGGGTCCGGTCGACGGCCGCGGAAGACCGCAGACCGGAGGGGGGGTCCGGTCGGTCGGAGCGCAGACCGAGGGGGGGGGGGGGGGGTCGGTCAGGTTGGCTCGTGGGTGTCACACCGCACACGCTCGCCGCAGCTGTGAATAAATTAGTCTCTCGAAATACTAGAGGCACAAGCGCCCTCTCCCCCCGTGTAATCACCCCTCGTCCGGAGCGGCTGCGCTCTAGAGAAGCTCAGGGTTGGGTCGGAACACAAGCTCATCAATGTCCCCGCCCACGTCGAGCCGATGAGCCCAGTGTGCGGTGAGGGCGGAGGCGATGTGCGCTCGATCACAATTCTGCGCTGGCAAGTGTAGTCATCGGAAGGGACGATGCGTGCGTACTGTGTAGAACTGGAGCGGCTGCCACAGAGATTGTACAGAGCGACGGCAAGCACAATCATGCCTACCTACGCCGCGTGGATGCTCCACATACACGTATGTGAGTCGGGCTGGCTCGAGCCTCCTTCGTTGCGTATAACTAGTTTGCATAGCGAAAACCGGCGATTTCGAAGCCTGTGGCGGTTGGATTCGCTAAGAAGGAGGGGGAGAGAGCGTTGAGGGGGCTCACGGCAAGGACACGGACCGCGGGAGGGGTCGGTCGTCACACCTCCCGCCGCCGAGAGAGCGACCGACCGGAGGGGGGGTCCGGTCCACCTTGGGGGCAGACCACCGACCGGCGGGGGGGTCCCCACGAAGTAGGGGGGGTGGGTACAAAGTGACGCTCGTATATAGCCACCCTTTACATCTTGCGCGGTCAAAAGAATTATGCGGTCGACGGCTAGTAAGACACTCCTCTCCTTAAAATCCCTGTGTGGTGGCGGCGTGCCGTCCTCCCCTCCTCACCGCTTTTTTCTTTCTTTCTTCGGCGTGCACGATTCGCGAGTCACCACGGTCCACGCTGGAGGCCGGCCTGGGGGTGGAGAGGAGGAGGAGCGGGGATCGTGCGGTCTGCACCTTGGTCTAGGCGTCCATGTGCACGTGCATGGCATGTGCATGTGCATGCGGATCGACGGGCGTAAAGACATGTGCATGCACATGTTGTTGTTGTTGTTGTTGTTGTGATAGATGTGAACACATATGTTACCAAGCAGTCGCCCCTCCTCTGGGCATGTGGACACACTAGAGTCTAGACACAAGCAAAATGTCACAAGCAGCACAGTCACTTTTGATTGCCAACCTGTGAGCACCTCAAATTACATCTCCGTGAGCGTAGCGCGACCAGTACACGGTCTGGGCGAGCGGCCGGATGCACGGCGCGCCCTTGCAGCAGAGGAGTGTAGTCCCGGGCCGATCAGTGTAGTACCAAGCCATGAATCGCGCGTAGCGCTGCTGGCGCCCGCCGACCAGGGGGCCGTACCAATCAGAGTTGTCCTTGCAGCACGTCGATCGGCAATAGGCTGCAGCAAAGTAGCTCCACGTGCAGAGGCTCGAGTACAACCCATCGTAGAGGCACTCGCCGGGAAGTCCGTACCAAGGCGGCGCCTGCCAAGCAACGGAAGGGTGCCGGACTCAAAAGCAGCTCTCACGACCGAGGGTGGCGTGCAGGACTAAGAGCAGCTCACTGCCGAGGGTGCAGGACTAAGAGCAGCTCACTGCCGGCGTCTCTCGCTATGTAAAGGGGGAGGAGCGTGTGAGCGCGCGCCTCCCACTCCTTCAACGGCGCACGGTCGCCGTCGGTAGCCTTTCTCAAGCCGCGCAGCCTTGCCGGCGGCCGCAGACTCGTAGCGCTACATTTGCCACGTGGCTGGCGCCTCATCATCCTCCAGGGCGTCATCGCGATGGTTGAGGGCGTCGTCGCGATGGTTGGGTGGCGTGAGGGGCGGGTTGGGTACCAGGTGCGGCATCAAGCTGGGTGAGCAGGCGCAGGCTCCTCTGTGCTCTGAGTGACTTGGTGCTCCTTTCAAGGTGCCGATGAAAGGAAATGTGCGTGACTCGATTTACAAAGATTATTAGCACGCGATATCGCGGTTTTAGGTATGTTGTTAGCAGCGGAATGTCGCTGTGAAACTGCAAACGAGGTCTGGTGCTCATTGTGGGTGAGCAGGCATCAGGATCAGCGGCTGCGGCGAGGCGGCGGTGCACTCGATCGACAGATTGCTGTCGTACACGACCACCACACGTTCTCGGGTGCGGGGCGGGCAGCATCCTTCCTGGCACGCAATGTCCTTCTCTGCCGCTGCGCAGTGGCGCTGAGATGTACATGAGATTGACCTTATTGCCGCGCGAGAGCATGGGTGGTGGAGCGCCCTCCAAGCCACCTCTGCTCGCAGGGGAGGGACGGGCGGCTCCTAACCGCCGTGGCGTGGCAGACGGTGAACGAGCTAGCATGCGGGGAGAGCGGCATTGTGCACGGAGCAGAGTGCATTGCCGTTCTTAACGGAGTCGCTTAGGCGGCTCCGATGGTGTGCCGATGTGTGTGCTAGTGTGCGCCAGTCCACGCCCTTGTCGTGCTGTGAGAGGCTTGTTTTCAGAATTCTAAGTCGTGCTGTGAGAGGCTTGTTTTCAGAATTCTAGTCCTCAGTGAATTCTTTTTCGGCCTCGCGGCGGGCACTCACCAACGAATATGACCGACGCGCGACTCGAAGCGCCCAGCGTCAGGGCCGCGAGAGCACCGCGCACGAAGCATGGCCGTTACAAGATTGTGGGCAGGGCAAGCGAGCTCGCGGCTCCCGACGAAGCAACCGACATCCCGCGGGGTGACGTGCAGATGGAGAGCGGCGATCGGCGTGGAAGTGGAGAGCAGGCCAGCTCATCCTCGAATACCTGCGCGCGCACTGAGCATGCACCCGGGATGGTGGCGCTCACCGTACGCCGGCTCGCCTGGGTGGCTGGAGCTGCTGTCTTTGCAGCATCCTCGTTGCTCGTTCTTCTCGGCTCCTCCAAGTCTCAACCCCAGCTGCCGCCGACCGTGTCGCCAACATCACCGCCGCCGACGCCACCGCCGCTGCTATCCCGTCGGTGCGGCAGGTGGCGCTTGCCTTTGGCGCGCTTTGGATCAAAGGGCCTGCAGGTGGTTCACACGCTTGAGTGCCAGCCGTCCTCTTGGGCCTACCAAAACAGCCCTGACGTGAGGCGGCGGTGTGACGCAGAGGGGGAGATGGCCGGGGCGCGCACGTGGCGGACGGCGTATCCGGTGCGGCGCGAGCGTCCCGGCGATTTCGATCAAGCAGATACCCTGCGTGGGGCGAGTGGCGAGCTCATCGTCATCGCGCTCTCCTCCAGCGCGGAGGTTTTGGGTGCCTGGCCGCGTGACGTCTGGACGCCACGCGTGCCATTCGTTGGTAGGGACCCGGCGGAGCGAGTCCCGTGCGCCCCATTGTCGCGGCACGAGGAGGCGCGTCGGCGGCTCGACCTGTCCGTCCAATTTTGCGGCAGGACTTTTGCGTGCGGTGGCGGCATTGGCAGGCCGTCAGCACCGCCGGAGGGTGACTCGGCGTCTCAAACGAATCGCTCAACCTACGCGGACGCCACCGACAAGGCCGGCGTGCAGGGGCGCGACGATCTTGCGGCCGAGCTGCGGCTATGCGACTTCCACGCCTATCTCCGGCGCTATCCCTACCTGGTAGAGGGCGGATACACCGCCGAGAGCGCGCGCCGCCACTTTATCCGCAATGGCTTCAGCGCGATGCTCAATTGCCGCCCTTGGGAGTTGACGGACGAGGTCTCCATGCTCATGGACGCCGAGCGAGGCCACGAGGCGATGGTTGTTGAGTACATGCGCCGCTCAGACACGCTGGATCGCGAGGAGGCGGCGCTGTGTCTCAAGCAAGCCAGCAGGGTCTGCACGGAACCGCGGCACGATCCCGAGTTCTGGCACAGCTCCGCCGAGGACGATGGTGACGAAGAGATGTTCTGCGAGGATGGGCTGCAGGATGCTCTCGCTACGAGGCGCGTTGTCGACCATCTCTTTGCCCGCGTTGCGAATGGGTGCACGTTTGCGCATCCAAGCGACGTGCTAGCCGCGGTGCAAGAGGCAGAGGCAAGGCACGAAGTCTTTCGTCAGCTGCTGCAAGCGAACGGCACAGCGTGTAATCTCGGACCCGCACACACCCATGTGATGGCCCGCTGGATTGCCAGCGACATTGACGCCATCTACTACAACCCCGATAATCCCACAGCGCTGGAGGCTGCCCGGCTGGCTCGCGCCGCCGTGTACTACAACCTGCGCACCGGCTTGCGCGGCGAGCTGCCGATTCTGCCTCTGGAGTGTGCGGCGGAGGGGCCACGGCCAGGCGAGCGGTGACACCTGCGTTGTTGGAGGGGTGTAGATCGAAAATCACATACTACGAGTGTCCAGGCTGTGGCTGTGAAGTGGTCGGCTGTGCCGCTCCTTTTTTGCTACAGCCTTACACGATATGCTATAGTTGGCGGTAGACTCAGGGTTTGTGAGTGAATTTTCACACTTTCACTTTCACATGTGAATTCATGTGAATTTCACATGAAACGTTTCGGCCGCCCCCGTTTCACTGAAAATTTCACAAGTTCGACTACTTTCGAAGGCTCTGGCATCTCCGAGGCGGCAGCGGCGGAGGCGGCAGCAGTGGAGGCGGCAGCGGCGGAGGCGGCAGCGGAGAGAGCGGCGGTGCGCCTACCACTGCCGGCACCGGTAGGGATCTCTGTGCCACCAATGCCGCGCGTTCCTGCTTCCCTGCAGCGAGGCCGTGGTCAAGGCCGTGGTCGTCCCCAAGGCTCAAAGAACAGGGGCCCGCCCTCACTGCATCAAAACGCGGTGTTTGAAAGCGAGGAAGTGTAGAAAGGAAAGAGCCCACAATAACTAGTGAGAGGAGGTGCAGCTTGGTTCGTGTCCTCGGGCACTCGAGGACGTGTGTGTTGCCTCAATGTTCTTTTAATGCGCGCCCCCGCCGAAATACACTGCAAATACACCATACACGCGAGATGCGTCGGCAGCGACGCGCACGACAAAACACATCTTAAGAAGCACCGTGTCGTTAGGGTTAGGGTTAGGGTTAGGGTTAGGGTCAGAGAGCGTTCAAGCCGTTGTGCAGCTCCTAAGAGAATGGTCCGGTTTGGGCCGAAACCAAATGGCGGAATCAGCGGTCCGTCGACACGAGCTCTCGGTGAACGCTTTGGGTTCTTCGGGCTAGGGTTAGGGTTAGGGTTAGGGTTAGGGTTAGGGTTAGGGTTAGGGTTAGGGTTAGGGTTAGGGTAAGGGGTTGGTTGTCGTCGCGCGCTCTCGATATCTGGCTAAGACAGAGACACAGCAGCAGAGGCGACCCAAGCGACACATCAGAGCATGGATGCTTGGGGGCGCGAGCCGCCATCTTGGACTGTGAGGCGAGTATTTGCAACCGGGAGCTCGCCGCCGCCCCTACACCGCCGCCGCCGCCCTCCCGGTGGCAAATAATAGCCCAAGTCGAAGAGTGCGCCCCGCCCTCGGTATCTGGGCGGCAGGCGGGACTAGAGAGGCACGCTGGTGCACGGATGGGGGCGCGAGCCGCCATCTTGGACTGTGAGGCGAGTATTTGCAACCGGGAGCTCGCCGCCGCCCCTACACCGCCGCCGCCGCCCTCCCGGTGGCAAATAATAGCCCAAGTCTCGAAGAGTGCGCCCCACCTTCGGTATCTGGGCGGCAGGCGGGGCTAGAGTGGCACGCTGGTGCGCGGATGGGGGCGCGAGCCGCCATCTTGGACTGTGAGGCGAGTATTTGCAACCGGGAGCTCGCCGCCGCCCCTACACCGCCGCGGCCGCCCTCCCGGTGGCAAATAATAGCCCAAGTCGAAGAGTGCGCCCCGCCCTCGGTATCTGGGCGGCAGGCGGGGCTAGAGTGGCACGCTGGTGCGCGGATGGGGGCGCGAGCCGCCATCTTGGACTGTGAGGCGAGTATTTGCAACCGGGAGCTCGCCGCCGCCCCTACACCGCCGCGGCCGCCCTCCCGATGCGTCGAGAGTCGACTCTCGACTGCTGAGAGAGTTCATCCCACCATCAGCACCGTATTCGCCCACAGCATGCCATGAGATTCATATAGGTCTAGTGTACACATCAGCTCAGCGAGACCAATATCTCCAGCCTCCTTCATCTTGGCTGCTGCTTGGGAGCCAACACCTGTGCAAGTGAGTGTCAGAGTGTCGGAACTCGGTGGGAGCATCCGTCATCAGCACGTTCACACGACTCTTCACACTCGCTCGAAAAAGTGAAATTTCGTTTCACATGAAATGTGAAGTGAAAGTGAAAGTGAAACCGATTCGCTGTTTCCATGTGAAATCACGAACCCTGGGTAGACTTGGGGAGACGGGAGAACTTCTTTGCACACATAACAATATATATATTAATTATTTATGTATGTATTTTAGGGATTGCGATTGTTGGACCCGGAGGGTGGACGCGTCCAGGGGGGGTCAGGGGGGGACGGCTCGTTTGGTCATAAATACATAAATGGACAAAACTATGCCCCCCCCCCCCCCATTAGGGTTGCCTAACGTTAATTTGGGGCCTAACAGTTGCGCTATTGTTGGCTGAAATCCTCAACGTTGTTCTGTTGTTACTGTTGTTCAGCGGCCAGCAAGCAGAAAATGGCGACCAGCGCACAGCGCCGTAGGAGGTTTTCTTCTCAAAAAGGCTGTGAATTGGGACCCCGTCTTGCATGTCTGACTGTCACTGTGCGATAAATAAATAGAGCAGTCATCTCCCGTAGAGATGGGCAACGCACGAACACAGAGGTACAGTGCGCACCCACTGTGCGATTTCGGGACCCGCGTTCGCGGAATTTCTTCTCAATTTCGCCGCATCGTCCCCACCTCGCACCATGCTCCTCGGCGGCCTGGAGGTCGTCGGCGCCGCCGTGGCCGTGCGCGCGCTAAAGTCGACCGACCGCGGCTCCCGCGTAGCCGCCTCGCTCGGTGCGATGGCTTCGTCGCTGACGTCGATGCTCTCGGCGGAGCAGGAGGAGGAGGACGTGGCGGACCCGTCGGCGGTGAACCTGCTCGTCGTCGTCCCGCCAAAGCTCCCACAGCTGATGGTTCCTCCCTCCACGGACGAGGACCTACTGCTCCGGGCGTGCGGCGATGGCCTGCTCGAGCAGCTCTCCAACGCCGTCCCGAGGCGCTTTGGCGACACGGGCGGCCAGTGGTTCTTGCTCCACGCGAGCCAGCGCGACGGCACCTCGCTCGCTCGCCTGCTCCGCGCGGCGTCCGGCGCCGGGCCCTGCGTGCTCCTCCTCCGGGACACACAGGGACGCGTCTTTGGCGCCTTTTGCAGCGAGCTGCGGGAGGCGACGGCGCGAGCCTCCTCCGAGAGCGCCCCCTCCCACTCCGTCTACGGCACGGGCGAGACTTTCCTCTTCGCCCTCGGCCGGCTCGCCCTCCCTCCGCCTCCCGTCGCCCGCGGCAACACGCCCGCCCAGCCGCGTGTGACCCAGATGGAGCGGAGCACGTCCGACCTCCTCGCGGAGGGCGCGGCGGCGGCGGGCGAGGCGGCGGACGCGGCGGGAGGGGCAGAGGAGGGTGGCGGCGGCGTGGGTAGTCCGGCGCGCCCGCCGCGAGTGTCTGTGCAGGTGACGCCACCCATCCGGCGGCGAGCCCACGCGACGCCGGTGGTCTTCCCGTTCCGCTGGACGAGGGCCAACGAGCACTTCGTCGCGACGACGCAGGAGGGCGCCGCCGAGAGCCTGCAGCTCGCGATCGGCGCCGGAGGCGGGCTGGTACTGGACAGCGACATCAGCGGCGGCTCGAGCGCAAGCAGCGACACCTTCGACAACCCGCCGCTCACGCTCATCGCCACGCCGGCCGAGGGCGGCGCCGACACCGCTGCGGCAACGGTCGCCGCTCCCGACGAGCCGTCAGTAAGGTTCGTCGCTGAGGCTGTGGAGCTGTGGGGTGTTGACGAGGCCGCATGCCGCAGCCTTCCGCAGTGCAGTGGCGCGCTCCCGCGCGGCGGTGACGAGGAGCAACCCGCGTAGTAGCTCGAGCCGCGTCGTAGTCGTTTTCCATGCATGTCGTTTTCGTTGTGTTTCCCCGACGGAGACTCGACACGAGACATCGACCCCGACACACCCCATAGTGCGATGAAGGAGAGGGCGTCGAAGCCGCAGTACTTGTAGTATAGTAGGGTGAGAATTATGAAAAACGTCGGAATTCGGACGAGTACTCTCGCCTGCACAAATTCGATAAGTGGGACAAGGAGGGATGCGTCCAGGATGCACGTCCTGCAGTTTGAGGTGTGCTTTCGTTCCCTCTCCTCGGTGACCAAACGACGAGCTGGAGAGCTGGCGACCGAACGCGACCCGAGGGTGGCTGGCGGCGATGGACGACCGAGCGGAGACGCAACGAATCGAGGAGCGGCTCCCGCAGGGAACCGACGAGTGGCTCGCGAGACCTCGGCTGTCGACGACTTCGCGAGGAACGATCACGCCGGTGGCAATACTGCAGCCACTGTCCGCGCCGGTCGGCGACGTGGTGATGTACACCGGGCCGTTGCAGCCGATGGGGCAGCTCCACGGGACCGGCAGGGAGTTCGGTGGCGGGACACAACCGTTGCCTGCATGCGTTGTTCGGGAGGCCGGCGAAGGCGCGATCACACAAGATGAGCGCAGAGGCGACGTCGGGCCGACGCGAGCAAACAAGACGAGGCGGATGGATCGGCGCCTCACTCACTGGCAGTGCATCTACTGCCGGCGCGAGACGCGGAACGATGCACGGGCGACGAGGTGCTGGAACTGCGATGGCGAGAAGGAGCAGCTGCGTGACGCGGACAGTGAGGGGCGCGAGGCGGCGCGCCGCGGGCAACGTGCGAAGGAGTACGCTGGCAGATCGCTGAACGCGCTCGGCGCTGGCACGTCGCTGGTGCCGCGAGCCGCGCAGGGAGTGTTCGAGCGGGCGCGGTTGGAAGTGCTCGTGCACTGGGAGACGCAGCAGCTCGAGCAGTACACGGGGGCGGCTTCTTACCGAAAGGAGGAATGCATGCTCGGGGTGATGGAGTCGTACTACGTCGTGCAGACGGGCGCTCGGGTGAGCGCTGTACCGTGCGTATGGGTAAGCGAGAAAAAGAAAGAAAGAAAGAAAACAGACAACCCAAGGGAGGGATGGGAGGACGGCACGCCGCCACCACACAGGGATTTTAAGGAGAGGTGTGTGGTGCGCTAGCCGTCGCCCACCCCGTCAACAGTGCGATAGCCAAGTATCGCACTGTTGGGGCCCGCCAGTAGATGGCGGAGAGGGCGAAGCCGAAGGTGACGAGGCAGCGCATGTGTAGCCAGGCGACGAGCGCGACGTCGTCGCCGTCTTCTTCCCGACCGCATAGTTTTCTTTTTTCGCGACAGCGAAGCCGTTTTTGGGGATTTGCACTGCCCTGGGCCGGTCCGCCTTTATCGCGCTGCTCGCCCGCGGCCTGCAGCTCCTCGCGCTCTGGCTGCACCTCCTGCAAACGCTGCTCCTTTGGGCGGGCTACCATTCTCCAAACCTCGCGGCGGTCCTAGATTGGCTCGCTCGCGGTGACGGTCCTCCGCCACCAGCAGACCACCCGCAGCGCATCCGCGTCGTGGAGCGCCGCGGCCGGCGCATCCTCGCGCTCGGCGACGACGAGGTGGTTGTGGTCGGAGGCAACTACGTGCTCAAGGCGGCGCCGTGGTTTCCGCCGCCCGAAGACGTCGCCAGGGACTGCCGGGCGGTGGTGGCCAACCTCGCCCGCGGCAGCTGGCGGGTGCCGGGGAAGCGGGTGGTGCCGTGCTGGCGGCTCGGCTGCCTCTGGTCCGGTGCAATGCCCAGCCCCGGGCGGCTCGACCCGGAGTGGGTGGCGCGGCTCGAGGAGACGGTCTCCACGTTCGAGGCGCACGGCATCTACTGCTTCCTCGAGGTGCACCAGGACGCCATGTGCGCCACAAATGGGGGCGAGGGAGTGCCGGTGTGGGTGGCGCAGCATTTCCAGGCCCGCCCCGAGACGGCCGCCGGCGAGTCCTACCTCGTCTCTCCGTCGCACCCGCTCGAGATTGCGCTCCCGCGGCTGCTGCAGCCGCTCTGGGGGCGGCTCGTCTCCGTGCAAACCTCCGGCGAGGAGGACCCGTGGCGCGCCTTCAGCGTCGAGGACGAGGCGCCGGGCCGTCCGGCGACGCTGATGAACCTGGGCAACCCGTCGATCCGGCTCAACAACTATGGCGAGTCTTGGCGATCCGGCGTCCTCTTTCTGAGCAAGCAGGTGCAGAGCCTCTTACCGCCACATCTCCCCGGATCTCCCCATATGTCCCCATATCTCCCCATATCTCCCCATATCTCCCCATATCTCCCCCAGGTGCAGAACCTCGCCTCGCGCCTCTACCGCTCGCACCGCGCCGCCGCCGACCGGCCCGTCTTCGAGGGCTACGTCGCGCTGCTCGAGTGCCTCGCCGCCGTCTGGAGGGGGCACGCCAACGTGATCGCCATCGAGACGCTCAACGAGCCGCCGATGGGCGGGCTGTGGGACCTCTTCACCGGGCGGCCGTCGCGGCTGCTCCGCTTCCGCTCCGAGCTGTGGCGCTTCCAGGCGGCGGCGCTCGACGCGCTCGACGAGCGAGGCGTGTATCTCCCCGTATCTCCCCGGATCTCCCCGGATCTCCCCATATCTCCCCATATCTCCCAGGCGTGCGCGGCGTCCCCGTCTGCGTCACGGACGTCGGCCAGGCGCTGCCCGGCTTCTCGCTCGCCACGCTGCTGCTCGCGCTCTGCGACCCGATCCCGTGGGCCGCGTGGCGCACGTACCGCCGGTGGGCGGCGGGCGGGCGGCTGCTGCTCTCCTTCCACTACTACGCCCCTCCGACGAGCTGCTCCTTCGCCTCGGCCACACTCCGCGCGCGCGCCTTCGCGCAGCTGCTGAGCGGTTCGGAAAGAAGCGGAAACGTGTTCTTGTACTCCTTCTGGCGCCCGAGAGGACGCGTACTCAGCTGTGTTCACCCGTATTCCGCTGTATTCACTGTAATCTTCTCCGTTGTATTCACGCGGTGCTCTGAATGCGCTGCACAATACCGTCTTCCCGCCCTGAGGTTGGCGTACCCAGCACGTAGGCTCGCCGGGCGGAGTGCCCTGCTTCCTCTCCGAGTTTGTCGAGCCCGAGGCGGAGGAGGTGGCGCGCGACATACAGCGGGCGGTCGAGCTCGGTGCCTCCGCCGTCGCGTACTGGCAGTTTGTCAGCGCGCAGCCCACGCACACGATGCGGGTGGGCGGCCGCGACGTGGTCTTCCACAAGCAGCCCGACGGCTGGGCGGCCTACGCGCCGCCGGTCGTGCCGCCCGTTCCCAGGCCGGACGGCTCGCTCGCCCGCTTCGCCGTCTGCGACACGCTCGACGAGTTTCGCGCGTACCAGGCGCAGCTCGAGCGCGGCGAGTACTGGGGCGCGGCCATCACGCAGTTCGGGGGCGCCGAGGTCAAGCACGGCGTCCTCCACGCGCTCGTCTCGTACGCCCGGCCGCGCAAGGCCCTCCCGGTGCACAAGGCGGCGGCCGTGCTCACCCACCTCGCCGACCGGCTCGCCGCCCTCCCCGGAGAGGCGGCGGCCTCGGCAGAGCAGGCGGCGCTCCGGGTGAAGAGCAAGGTGCTCTGACGCGAGACGACGGCGCCGCGAGACGAGGGCTTCTCTTAAAGTTAGAGCGTAAATGGGGTCTCTCTCTCGAATGCCATATTTTCATATTCAGTAGAGCTCTATGTGTCGGTCTGAAAAAAAAAATATTCTTAGCTTCAAGCCCCCCTCCGAGACTAGGGACAGAACCACACCAGGGCAAGTGGGGGCGAGGCGCAGTCCCGCTGGTCTGATACTGATGTGTCGGTCTGAAAAAAAAGGGAGACATGATCTGAATATCTCTCGCTGACGATATCCCACATATCCCCCAGCGGCCAGCGCCCCCAGGGAATATGGATATGGCACCGTCGCACGGTGTGACCGCGCTGACGCGGCAGCTCCTAACTCCCTTGCGCATGCCCAGGTCGACTCTCTGCTCGTGCAGCGCTCGCCGCTGCAACGAGAGAATCGCCGGGACCCTCGCATGTGCCGCAGCTGGTACCGCCCACAGCAGCCGCGCACGTCCGCCGGCTTTGTAAATTGGCAGCCGGTAATAGGGCGGTACAATTGGCGAGTTCGGCCTCAGTTTGGCCTGAAACTACACGCTACACGGCCGAAAACGCCAATTGTACTATACCGGCGCCTTCATACGAAGGTCGAAGCCTCCGGGGAAGCCTCTGGGGGTCAGCCCCCCCCCCCCCCCCAGCATGTGAGTGGGTGGGTTGTGGGGACTGTCTGGCCGTTGTGGTCGGGCGCGGCGGCATGGTGCCGGCTGGCGCTTTCGTGCCAGCCGTTCGTTCGCGCGTTGCGCATCGTCCGAACCACACGTGTCCCTCCTTTCACACTCTCGAGTCCTTGGTTGATTGCCCGTTTCTCCGCCCGTCGGTCTACCGCCCGTCGTGCGGATTTCGTTCTCACGCACCCGTTCGCGCTCGTTGGCGCACGCGCTCTGCCTCGCAGAAACTCCTACAGGTGCATCAGCACAAACATCAAAGGAGAACGAGCTCACAGCGGCCAAGGTTCAGATTACGCAGCTCAAAGCACAGCTCGCAGAGGCCAACGCGCAGATTGCGCTGCTGTCTGCCGATAAAAAGAACGAGGACAATGACAAGGATACCGCAGAGCCGGTGCGCAAGCTCAATTTCGTTGCTACGATTATGGAAGAAGTGGACCATTTCAAGACCGCTTTTGATGCCCTGGATTCCGGTCTGATGGCGTCAAGCTCACTAAGGAGTCAGAACCAGCCGCTACTGGAGCGCGTGCTGCCGGCCATGATTGCATTTGCCGGGCTGGACGAAGAAGAGAAGGCACGGGTCGTAAGCATGCTCGGCTCAAGGGGCCGACTGCTTGAAGAGAAAATCAGGCAAGCCGCGATTGCCGTGACATTCTTGTCGGTTACTTCATGCGGCAGCGACGTCGACGACGACGACGACTCGGACGACGACTGCTAAATGGTTCATCCACGACGGCCAGACTGGGTTGTACATGAATCATGATGCATCGCCACAACGCGGTGTTGATGGAAAACAGCTGGGGCCTCTGCCCTTCTCTTGCATGTCCCCGCGTAGGTCCCGGCGTGGGCTTGCGATATTTTTTTGTGCGGATTGCAGCGTTCCGTTCTACAGGCAGTATTGCCGAGCCAGAGTTCTCCACACTTCTCCATCCAGCTCCACAAGTCGGAGATGCAGATGGACCAACATGCCACACTCCCACACACAAGAAGCAAATTAAATGCAAGATCCCTTCTTCGACCCCGGGCGGTTAGTTTCTGTTTATAGCTCATTAAGCCACCCACATTCGGGGCCGCGGTGGAAATGGTAAAACTAATTCCCCAGGGCCTGTGCGCGGGAGAAGTGGGATTGCACCTGTGTGGCGCAGCAGCTCTCCGCTCCTCCGCAGCTGCCAGCTCTAGGAGCTAGCGGCTCGCGCTGCTCCACGCCCATCCGCCCGCCGCGCGCTCTCTGCTCTCAGTGTGGACGTCACGTCACGGGGGGGTCGTCGCGCTCTCTCTAGGTGAGTCTCTACACACGAGGACGCGAGCCTGCACGTTGCACGACCTCAGCTCGCTCTCTAGCTACCGCGCTGCTGCTCACGAACTCTACATCCTCACTTTTGACACACGCGCGTCAGAGCACCTCCTCGTCACCAGAAGGCGCGGCGTCGTCATGCTCGTAGAAGACAAAGTTGTCGCCCTCCCACTTCGACGCGACGCCGGGCGTGTCGCGCACGTGGCGCAAGTAGCCGTGGATGCCGTCGCGGAGGCGGAACGTGTTGGTGAAGCCAAGCTCCTGCTCGAGGAAGGCGTTGGTCTTCACGCAGCGGATGCCGCCCGTGCAGAAGGTCATGATCGGCCGCTCTCTCGGCACGCCGTCGAGCCGCTTCCGCAGCACCTCCCAGCTCTCCGAGAAGACGCTCGTGTCGAGCGGCTCGGCGCCGAGGAAGGTCCCCGCCGACGACTCATAGTCGTTGCGGCAGTCGAGCAGAATCGGACCGACGGAGCTGCCCGCCTCGCCGCCGCCCTCGCCGCCGCCC